GCCTGCTACAGAGAAATCATTCGTGAAAGGAAGAGTCGATCGATGCAGCAGATTTCACTGTTGTCTTACTTTAAGAAATTGCCAGTCACCCCAGCCTTCAGCAGCCATCACCCTGAGCATCTGGTAGCCATCAACACTGAGGCAAGATCCTCCATCAGCAAAAACGTGAGGACTCCCTGAAAGCTCAGATGATGGCTAATGGTTTTTTTAAAGCTATAAAGCATTTTTAAATTAAGTGTGTACAGTTTTTTAGACATAACGTTATTGCACACTTAATAGAGTGTAGCTTAAACATTATGTGCACTGAGAAATCAAAACACTCATTTGACTCTCCTTATTATGACGTTCGCTTTATCATGGTGGTCTGGAACCCAACCTGCAATATCTCTGAGGTGTGCCTGTATTTAAAAAGGTCTCCTGTAATAAAGTAATTTATATCTGAATAATGGGGGCACCTGTCCCAAAGTCTTTGGATCATAAGACTCTACCCTTTACCGTCACTGCTTTGCACTTAGAACGAACATCCTGCCTAATTGGTGTCGTGTGTCGCATGCCTGGGGAAACTCTGCATTCTGCCATGTTGAATATGTGAATGGTGGGGGGGGGGGTTCAGGAACAAGGCCTTGTTGGGGCTCCTGGGTTTCTTCAGTTTGAGGAAAGAAATTACATGTTTATTCCCGAAAGAAGGGAGATTGGGCCAGACCTAAAAGGGGGCTGTCTCCAGGGCTGATTTTCTTGTTTGACAGAGTAAGTCTACCCTTGGGGGTCCTTTAGGGAACAGAAACGTGGACAGTGGGGCATGGAGGTTGGAGCTTTCTGTGTTGGGGGCCTGGAGCTAGAGGGGAGTGTGAATTCTGGGCAGCAGATGTTGCTGGCTCTTCTCTGTTGCTTGGCCTCTCTCGACAATTCCTGCTACACTCCATTTCTGTTTTTATTCACATCCTCTCCCTCTGCCCCCTGAAGACCTCCTTTCCCTTTCTACCCAAATACCTGTCCCCTCCTCTCATGACTCATCTCTCAAGCCCTCCCTCTGTTTAACTGCCCACAAAGAGGAATGAAATGTGTGCGTGTGTGTTTATATTTGTGTTTGAAATTATGAAAGTTACTACATAAGAGCTTTCTGTTCCCTTTTTCTTATTTTAAAAACAGCTGAATTTGGCATTTTACTTTTTTTTTTTTAATATCTCCAGACTGAATTATGTTCCTTATGGCTATGAGCAGTCCTTGACCAATTTTATTTTAATTCCACTCCCACCCCCTGGAGGCTGGAGGGTTCAAAAGCACCCACTTCTGGCCTTAAACTTGTTTTGCATCTAACCCCTGGTAAGCCGAGAGGACTGGAAATAATCAGGGACGCTTGTGGGTGAGCCATAACTTTTCAGATCTCCACCGATCGCTTTTCTGAGTGTGCCTGGGACTGGTAGAATGAAACACAGCAAGACCAGGCAGGGGAGAGCTGCTGGGTGGGGAGAAATGGTTGGATGGGAAATTATTTTTTCTTTCCCAGTAATTGTTTTGACATGGAAAGTAATTAGCCAGCAGCTGACAGCTCAGAACTGAAGTGAGAACAAGAGAATGGATTAGGGGCAGAATGCCCCTGCATTTGCCAGTTCCTGGCCGCCGTTCATGTGGCGGGCGGGGGGCCTGGGGGATGCTGGAAGCAAAGACAGCGGTGTACTGAGGGTGCACTTTTAGGTGCCATGAGGGGAGGAGGTGGGGGTCGGAAGGGGCTGGGGACAACCCTGGTGTACAGGGACCCAATATCATCAAAGGTAGTGACTCCTTCCTAGCTAAGACCTGCTTGGGTAAGAATTGACATATTTCGTGTTTGTAGTCACACGGAACTGTGGTTCGGTTCTTCTGTGGTCTTTGGTAGATTTTTGGGATCGGGGTAATGCTGATTTTTATATAATCAACTGGGAAATTTACCACGTTTCCAAACTCTTGGTATAGTTTGTGTCTAGGTATTTCTTCGTTGAGCGTTTAAGTGAAGTTGCCCATAAAACCGTCTGGGTCCAGTACCTTTTGGAGGGAGGTCATTTTTCAAAGGTTTTACTCATTTTGGTGTTTCTAGTGTCCTTTGAAACTGTTTTTGATCATTTGATTCTTATGGAAGGTTATGTGTTTATTAGCATGTAGTTATAAATCCTATGTGCTTGCATTTAAAAAAAAATCTCTTACGAGATCTGCTTATGTTTTCTTTCTAACTCTACATTCTGAGCATTCATGCACTCTCTCAGTCTCAGATTAGATGGGCTGACCTGCTTTTTTATTGTTGTGATCCCCCCGCCGAAAGCCACCCCCACACAAAGAGAACTCGCCTGAGTTGCGAATGTCATCCCGTTTCCTAACCAGTTCATTTCTAGTGCCATATTTATATCCTCTTCTCATGTTTTCCTTTGGTTTACTTTACTGGCTTGTAAAGGTTTTTGTGAATTCTTAATTTGAATGTTTAGTCCATTTATTTGTATTTCCCTGGTTTTGGTAACGGAATAATGGAGGCTATGGGTTTTCCTCTAAATATAATTCAAGCCTTATCCCATCTGTTTTGATATGTTCTTCCTGATTATTTTCTAAATATTGTGTAATTCCGGTTTTTAAATTCTTTGACCTGACATTAGGAGGGCATTTTCTGAAATTTCCAAGTGTTTGGTTGTTGGAGGGATGGGGATCTTGTGTATTTATTCTTTCATTACTAATATCTGCTTTTATTGCGTTCTGGTCAAAGAATGTGGCCTGTGTTCTTTATGCCTTTTGCGATTTAGCAACACCTTATTTGTGACTTCAGTATGCCCAGGCCTTTTAAAATGTTCCGTGGCTTGTTGGCAAAAGATGTTATCTTGGGTATCTGGGTGGCTCAGTCAGTTAAGCGTCTGCCTTCAGCTCGGGTCATGATCTCAGGGTCCTGGGATCGAGCCCCGCATCGGGCTCCCTGCTCAGCGGGGAGTCTGCTTCTCCCTCTGCCGCTCCCCCCACTCATCTTTCTCTCTCTCTCAAATAATTAAATAAAATCTTTAAAAAAAAGATGTTATCTTTGTTTGTAACCCATGATGTTTAGTATCTAGTTCATTCAGCCTTCTAAATGAAATTACTGAGATATTCTACGTCCTCACTTTTCTCTACTACTCAGTCATCGACTGAAAGCAGTGTAACTAAGGTTTTCTCCTGTCGTCTTTAGATTCTCCGGCATATGTGTTTTTTCGATTTCAGTGCTATGCTGTTTGATAAATGACGGTTCTCGAATGGTACACTTTCATCGTGGGTTGTATTTATCATCAGCCTAGTGCCCTTCCTGGCATAGCTTATGCTGACCCGAGGAACTTCTCCTCGATCCCCTCAACATTCCGTGATGCTCTTCGAATCGCACCCCCGGCTCCTCTTACACCAGCATGGTCATGGATATAGTATTAGCATGTAACCGGCTGCCGAGGGGCCCGAGTGCAGACCAGGGCTGTGACTGGTCATGCGGGTTAATTTCTTGGTGGTTGTTGCTTCCCCAGCCAGCTGCACTGGGGGCCAGCCACGTGCCCAGTTTTCCTGTCACCTTCCTGTGTCTGTGCCCACCCACTTCCAGGGTATCAGGCCAGCCCCGCAGATCAGGGAGAAGCCCAGCTGCCCAGAGGGGTCTGCTAAGGGGGGTCTGTGTTTCTGCTCGCAGGGGGCGCTGCATTTTTCACTGCAAATGGCAGAGAATGGGGGACATCCCCCAGCATGAAAACGGTTCCTGCCTGGGATGGCCTTCATCACCCCCATTGCTTCATCACCCCACTGCCTGCCTCCAGCAGATCAGTAGATGTTAGTGACTTTCAGCCAACCTCTCCCCTTGCTTCCTGCCACACTGCAGGGTGCTCCCAACAAGAACCAAGCATTGGACCTCAGTTTGTATATCTTCTCTAGTTTGACCTGTGCAGTCTATATGTTGCAGCAGTTCCTCCAAGCCTGGGGCATGCGGAAAGCATGCTTCCCTGGTGTCTACTAGAGATCACGCAGGCTTGGGGCTCAAGGAGCAGAAGCAGTGGTCTTCCCTCCCTCCATCTATCCCTCTCCCCTTTTCATGAATTACTTCATGACTCAGGGCTCCCTTTCGCAAGTACTGCCCCCATTGGATTTTCATGCCAACCGAGTAGGTTTGGAGACTGGGGAGGATTATCCCCATTTCACAGATCTGGAAGCTGAGGCTCACAGAGGAGGAACTGCTCCCTAAGCTCACGTAACCGTGTCTGCAAGGGAGCAGACCCGAGATCGCACGGGTCCCAGTGGGTACTTGCGGCATCAGGAGCCTGTGGGGGTGTTGGGAGCTTTGAATTGGCAGTTTCCCAGTGGAAACTGGGAAATGCTACAAGCCTGCCCTGCCCCCCACTGCCCCCCTAAGAGAGCAGGTTGATCAGCCCACCTCGGGAGCACAGTGAGTGTCATAGGGGTAGAATTTTGCAGCCTTGAATTTTTTTCCTTTTTTTTTTTTTTACTTTAGGAAAACTGAGACTCGAAAGGGATGGCCTGTGATACCCCCGGCTATTAATCGGCAAAGCCAAATTTCATAGAAACCAGTAAACCCCGTGCTCTTTCCATTCTCTACTGGTATTGCAGTGCCGTGAGGGCGAGGGTGGGGGCGTTCCTCTGGGGAGATGCCAGCAGGTGGCGGAGGGGCCGCCTGACTCCGTGGAGTCGGCGCCAGTGGCCACAACTGATTTGGCATTTTCAAGTGACAGCTGTGGATTGCAGTGACCCCACCTCCTATCACGGAAGCACGTCCGTCTCTGGTTCAGAAAGAAACGCGGTCCCCCAAGAGTCGCCCAGTTGGGAGCTGGGGATTAGAGAGATGCTTGCGACCCGTCTCTAGCTCCGCGAACCCTGGTCAGAGCCCAGGAGATGGTCCTGGCCGAGCGAGACATCTCAGAGGCTGGCGGACCGTGACGTGGGGGAAGGGACCACGGTTGCAGGCAGTCGGTGTCGCCCGTGCGTGGCTGGCGTGGCCTCTGAGCAGTGTTTCTTTCCCGCAGTGAATGGATACCACGTGGCAGGGACCCCAGCGCACCCTCCCGAGACTGCCCACATGAGTGTCCGAAAATCCACCGGTGATTCCCAGGTAAGGGGTCATGTTACGGGAGGTAGGGGTCACCAGGGAGGTGCCAGGAAGACAGCACCGCATGGGGGTCCAGGTGACCACAGCCCGGGTGTGCCCCAGGTAGAAAGTGGCTGGTATATCTGGGTCGTTCCTGTGTGCCGTGATTGGGAGAGAGTGGGCAATTGTGGTTTGTTGGTTTTCTCTAGAAGTTGAGGGTGGTTGGAGTGGGGTGATGGTGGTGGATTGTAACCATCGTTGGGGCAGAGGGGTCCATCCTGCCGTCTGGATTCCTGATAAATACCGTCTCGGTTTCTGTCACTTTAAGGATATGGATGGGGCCAGGCCACTTTCATTCTTCTACACACCCCCTTTCCTCGCCCCGGACTTCACCCAGAACGGAATTCTGTAAAATGTTTTCTCACTTTTAATAATCTAGCAGCGAGACCTTGATGGGATGGGAAGAAACGGGAGAATGGTTTAAGATTCATTCCCATCCTGTTTTCTCATTCATCCTATCCGTTGACAACCTGTACAAACACCTGTCTACCTTTCCCGTCTTAAAGGCGAGGCCACCGAGTCTCAGGCTGCTTAAGCAGGTGACACAAATACCGAGCGGTCAGTCTGGACCTCAGTGCCGAGCCCCTTGGTGTTTTGAGTTGCGTTAAACTGCGTCTAAGGAGGTGAGGATTGGCTTATTTATTCTTTCCACCAGTTATATCCAGGAGATGTTCTTAATGAGGGCTGCAGACTCTGTCAGCCCTTTCCAGGCCCCAGGGATGATGGTGGTGATCGTGATAGTTACCGGTGCTCAGGATGAGAGTAGCTGCTTGTTACCCCCAACAGTGGGTCCTGTGCACCAGAAAGAAGGGCCTCATGATCTGTTGCTGCAGTCGGCTAAAATGTGACACTTAGCTTTAATGCAAGCAAGAGCATTCCTTTTTGGAAACTTCATGAAGTTGTCTTAGGAGGCTGAGCATCGGGCTCAGGTTCAGTTCAGCTAGTGCTCTGGAAAAGAATCCGGACGTCCGTGTGGGCCGAGACTTCTTACATTCTGAGGGACTCACTCATCACCCAGGCCTTTGTTAAAATGTAGATTCTGATTCAGGAGGTCTAGGAAAGATCCTGAGGTTCTGTTTCCAAGCAGTCCCCGGATGATGCTTAATGATGCTGGGAATGCTGGGGATGCTGATGATGCTGGGGATGCTGATGATGCTGGGGATGCTGGGGATCCTGGGGATGCTGGGGATCCTGGGGATGCTGGGGATGCTGGGGATGCTGATGATGCTGGAGATGCTGATGATGCTGGAGATGCTGATGATGCTGGGGAAGCTGGGGATGCTGGGGATCCTGGGGATCCTGGGGATGCTGGGGATCCTGGGGATGCTGGTGATGCTGATGATGCTGGGGAAGCTGGGGATGCTGGGGATGCTGGGGATGCTGGTGAAGCTGGGGATGCTGGGGATGCTGATGATGCTTGATGATACTGGGGATGCTGGGGATGCTGGTCAGAGGACCGGGCCTTGAGCGAGGAGGATCTGGGCCTGGTTGATATTGCACAGCGTGTGTGTGTGTGTGTGTGTGTTCGTCCCCTTCACGCCCCTGCTCATGGCACACATCACACACAGCCCTGGTATTGTGTGTTTTCTGCCGAGCAACCCCTCCCCCCCCCGCCCCAAGCCTTTGCAACACAGCCTTTATCAATCTATTCGGCATGAAGCTGATTTACCACCTGACTGTGGACTGTTTTCTGAAGACACCAGCCTGAATTCTGCTATGTTATCGCATAACCTGACCAAGCTGGCGCTACCCCCCAGCCCCAAAATACTGTGAAGTTGTTCCCGAACTTTTTTTTTTTTTTAACATTTATTGCTATAACCTTCTTGGAAGCTGCTTGGACCCAGGAACATCGCCCTCCAGCATCTGTTCTTGGAATACATTCAGGGATTCTGATTTGTGTGGGAAGCGTTTCCCTTACAGCTCTGCAGTAGTGGACCCAACCGAACTGTCCAGCAACAGGGGAGCTGGGTACAGTGGATTTTGGCCCCGCATAGCCAGCCCATTCTATGATGCAGACATGAGAAAGCCCATTTCTGAAGAAAATTTCATGAATTTAGGAAAAGGCTGAGAACCTAATACTGAGTGGGAAAAGTAGCACGCACGCTCCATACACAGCCAGTCTTACTTGCGAGGAGGAAATCACATGTTCATGAAGACAAAGGACTAGAAGAAAAAGAAATCAGAACGGTGATGTTGGTCCTATCTGCGTGTAAGGCTGATTCTCCATCGGGGACGTTTGTTTGGAGACGTTTCGGTTGTCATGGCTGGGGAGGGAGTACTGCTGGCTGGCAGCTAGTGAGGAGGGTTCTGGAATATGACCAGTCATCCCATACAGCACAGGACTGCCCCCGCAACAAAGAATTATCCAGTTCGAAAATACAGTGGTATTGAGGTTGAGAAACCTCGGTCTAAAGTACTTTTTATTTTCTTTATACTTTGCAGGATCTTGCACGTTTCTTAAAATGAACACATTTTACTTGAGTAGAGGGCAGGTACCATGCACATTATGAGAAGCAGGGTGCTGGTACTTGGGGATGTGGGGTAGGCCAGCTGTGGAGACCCGGGAGGGGGGCAGGAAGCAACTGTTTTAAGGAGCGGGTGGAGTGGATTCTTTCCAGATGATAACGTGGAAAGTTGAGGTATCATCAAAGTAACAAAAATAACGCAGTGTGCGGAGAGAACAAATATGGTTGTTCACCAGTTCCCAGAACTGGAAAGTAGCATATTATTTTTTTTAGGCAATGGAAGGCTCTCCACAAAGGTGCTTGGGGCCAATTGCAGAAATAGGATGAGAAGGGTTTTTTTGGTTTTTTTTGTTTTTTAATTTTTTTAGGAAGATTTTATTTATTCATTTGACAGAGAGAGGGAGAGCGAGCACAAGCAGGGGGAGCAGAGGGAGAGGGAGAAGCAGGCTCTCTGTCGAGCAGGGAGCCCGATGTGGGGCTTGATCCCAGAACCCTGAGATCATGACCTGAGCCGAAGGCAGATGCTTCACTGACTGAGGCACCCAGGCACCCCTAGGATGAGAAGTTTTAGTGTTTACGGAGAGTGCCGCCAACAAATGATCCCCAAAAGTATATACAGTGCTCTTTGGCGAGTGTAGTGTTTACTCACACGGTCCCAGGCTGCCAGTTAGAATGGATAACAATTATGGCGTAGTAATACCTGAAGAATGAATGAATGGGCAAACGAACACAGGGCCATTTGAGATACAGGGTTGGGGGTGGGTTAAGCGGCTTGCACAGGGTTTGCTCAAAGCCCTGTGTGTTCTTTTTTCTGTGAGCTGTTCCTCCTTAAGCAAACTCATCAGGGAGATTAGAATGTTGGGGTGGGGGAACGTGTCCCTACTGCGCCCTGTCATGGGCAGGACTGCTGGCTGGGTGCCCTGCAGACCCGGGGGGGTGCCTACCTGCTCCTTCCCTAGTCCTGGGAGACCAGATGGCTGGGCACAGGTGGTGTTGATCTGGTGCCACCCAGTGGAGGTTTCTGGCCGGCAACCCTGGGGCGGGCTGCCCGGATGCCGTATAAATGGGGCCCACCGGATACCATATAAATGGGGCCCACCGGCCTGGGAGGCTGGGGCATCAGAGACTGAGTTTTGCTGGCTTCCTTTGCAGAAGCACGTCCTGGCCTGTCCCCTGCCTGCCTGCCGGTGGAGGGACCCCTCTGATCCCTGTGCAGGTGGAGTGGGTATGGAGGCGGGTAAGAGACCTGCCCACCAGAGCCTGGGCCCTTTTGTGACCAACCTTTCCGTTGTTCTGGCTTCCTACCCTACGTGCGAGAGGAGAAAGGGGGTGGGACCGAGGGCTTGGAAAGTTCAGGGTCCCATTGGAGAAGGGAGCTTGAGGTGGCGGTAAGATGCTGAGATTCACCCACCTAACGGGGACCCTCCTCAGTCCAGCTACACGTGTTCCTTTGAGCGTCTCCTTCGTGGCCAGGCTCTGAGTCACAGGCAAACAGAGCCCCTGCCTGGGCAGAGGCTTGTAACTGGTGCCAGAGGAGACAGGAGATAAATGATCATTTCGTGTCGGCCGTGGTAAGTGCTGGAGGAAGTCTGTGCCCTGGGCACCTGCTCGGGTGGCCGCAGGGGGTGCTGGAAATGTCAGTGACGGGCTCCAGAAGAAGCAAAAGTAAGCTAAGACTGGACAGATGAGCAAGGGGTTAGCTGGGCCCAGGGTGGTGGTGGGGAATAGCCTTCCTTCCAGGTGGAGGGAACAGCACATGTGGATGCCTAGAGGAGGTGAAGGAAAGCGGTGGTTTCAGTGAACCCGCAGAGGCCGAGTGGGGCTGTGATTTCCTGAATCAGCAGGTGCAGGGAGGGCGGAAGGGGAGCGGGGGCTGGAGGAGTCTGCACCGGCCTAGTGTGAGGAGCTTGGGTTTATTCCAGCGGTACCGGGAAGTCACTGAGAGGTTTCATTCTGGATCCTGTCTGCCGAGGAGGTGGGACCCAGGCTATTCACGGGGCCGGGAGACGGTCAGAAGACCTGCCCAGCCCGGGCTCGTGGGTCTACCCAGCACTGCTTTGTAGCTCACCACCCCCCGGGGCTCTCACCTCACAGTAATGGCAGAGTGACCCAGGCGAGAGGAGGAGACCAGGCTGGGGAGGGACTTTTTAAAAGGGAAGGAGAAAAACTTTCTAGAATCATAGGCAAAAGACATTAAAAAAAAAAAAACCAAAAAACCTTTTATTATGCACATCGGCAAACATTTAGAGAAGTAGAAGGCATGTTATAATAAAGTCCTAGGGACTAATCATTTAACTGCAACGATTATTCGGCCAATCTTGTTTCATTTATATACCCATTCCTTCCCTCCCCTGGGATTATTTTAAAGCAAAGTCTACTATATTGTTTTATTTTATTTTTTAAAAGATTTTATTTGTTTGATGGAGAGAGCGAGAGAGCACAAGCAGGGGGAGTAGCAGAGGGAGAGAGAGAAGCATGCTCCCTGCTGAGCAGAGAGCTCAACATAGGACTCCATCCCAGGACCTGAGATCAGGACCTGAGCCAAAGGCAGACACTTAACCAACTGAGTCACCCAGGAACCCCTGACATTTGTTTTAACTGGGAACATTTCAGAGCATACCTCTCTAGGGGAAGACATGAATGGGATATCGTTAGCCCACATAAGAAAACATTAATTGGGTATTTTCATCTAGTATCTATAATTCATATTCAGACTCCCCATTTGTCCTCAACATGTCTTTTATAGCTGCTTTTCTCTCCAGTCCAGGGTCCGTTCCAGTTTCGCACGTGGATACATTGTTGGCTGGATCTCTTTAGTTTCCATTTTGGGGGCTTTATTGAGATGTAATTCACACAGCCTACAATTCCGCCATTTAAAATGCACAGTGTGGTGGTCACAGAACTACACAATCATCATCATAATCAGTGTTAGAGCGTTTTCATCACCCCAGAAAGAATCCCCAAAAGCCTTTGGCACCCACTAATCTACTTTCTGTCTCCGTGGATTTGCCTCTTCTGGACAGTTCATATACGCGGAATCGCACCCCATGTGGTCTTTTGGGTCTGGCTTCTTGCACTTGGAACAATGTTTCAGGGTCCGTGAATGTTGCAGGTGTATTAGCACCATGTTCCTTTTTTTTGGCCAAATAGTATTCCATCGTGGGGATTTACGATTTCATCTCATTTCTGGCTTTTAGCTTCTTTTAATCTAGACTGTGTTCGCCACACATTTGGTCTTTTGTCTTAACCCATGGTGACTCTATTTGGGAAGAGACCAGCTCGGTTTAGAATGACCCACGTGCTTAGTCTAATTGTTTTCTTATGCTTAGACTCGGGGCTAACATCTCTGGCAAGAATATCTACCACCTGGGGCCTCCCAGGTTAGCACCCTACCAGTGATGCTAACTGGGAGTTTGAGCTCCTGGTTAATGTGATGATCCCTTTGCAAGGGTACGTTTTCCCTTTTTAGTAAGCCAGTAATTGGGGGGATGATAGTGTGAGACCATGGGCATCTCCTGTTCCTTCACAGGCTTGTCGCTCAATGCTTTGAGCATCCTTGGTGACCGTGGCCTGAATCCATTTTGATGTTAGGGTTTGCAAATGGTGATTTTGTGATGCTTTATCCATTTTTAATGGGCATCCTTCCATAAAGAAATGCTTCCCCTCTCTCTCTCACTGCCTTTTGAAGTTACTCATTTGTAGTCATTATTCATAATCATGCTCAAATTGTCCCAAATTTGGCTTGTTGGAACTTCTTTCTGCAGGCGCCTGGGTCCTTTTGCGAGATCACATCGTTCTTTGCACGGTCTCTAACCTCCCAGAATAATAAGATGTTCCAGATCGACCCGGCATCTGAAATGAGCTATTTCTCCAAGGAGCCCGGTTCCTCTTAGTACGGAATAATATTTAGAAACCAACTTCTAGCTAGTAGGTAGTCTCCCTGTGATGGAGGAGTCATTCCTTTGGGGCCCTTTCATGAAGTGCTACTGGGATGTGTGTGTGTGATGTATGGACATATACACGTATGTATATACAGTACATATATATGACATATATTTATGTGGATGATGTTAGAACAATAGCCACGGGCCATTGGCAGCAAGCACAGAGCCCAAGGTGCCTGGAGGAGCCTGGGGTCACCCCCTGCCCAGCCCTGGCTGAGACTGCATCACCAGGAGGGCAGAGAGTGGGAAGGCGCCAACACCCACATGTTGAACATCCCCTTACAGTGCCATTACTCACCCTCCCCTCCTGGCCCGAGTTATGGGGAGGACGACAACCTCTGCGTCCGGCTTCATTCTGTAGAGCCTCGGACACAGTGGTCCCCAAATCCAGGTTTGTGGATGATGGAGATCTTTCTCCACCCCTGCAGAGACACTTGGAAAACAGCCAGCCTCAAAGTGGGGAGCTGGAAGAATATAGAGAAAAGAGATATTCAGCCCGGGGCTCTAATTTCCTCCACTGACCACACCAGAGGCTCTCCTCCCACGTCTCCCTCCCTGGCATGGATGAGCCTGCAAGAGAGCCCTGCACCTGTCACAGGATAGTGGCACTTGAGCCCCTACCACGCGGACTCCGTCATCCTCCCAGGTGGCCCAGTTTGGGCAAATGCCCTGGGGTACCACTGATAGCTTGGGAGGGTCCAGGGTAGGCGAGCTGGATGCGTTGATGCTTTGGAAGCGTCTGTCAAAGCTGTGGTTGGTCACAAGCTTGAAGTCGCCCCAGAGCCTGCTGGGGTTGCTATACCAGCTACCAGAAGTAGGGGAGTCTTGATGAATGACACAGCGTAGATCAGTGTGTCCCCAAGGGAGGCCCCCAGACTCTGCTTCAGAGGCGCTGCCCCCTCCCTGCCCCCCCCAGAGAGCTGCTGGGTCAGCTCTGGGAGGTGCAGCTGGGACCCGATTTGGGGTCCTGTTTTGTGTGATGAGCAGAGGGGCTCCTGAGGCAGGGCTGCCCCCCACGCCCAGATGCTCATCCTGCCGGTGGTCCGGGGCTGTGCCAACCCCCAATCTGGTTCCCTGAGGCTGGCTGGAGAGGCCTCTCTGACAGCCACGTCCTGAGGTTCCACCAGAGAAAGAAGGCTGTGGGTCCCAGGACAGGCCTATAATGGCCCCCAACCGTGCCTTGGGGTGAGCCTGCTTCCCCGCTCATTGAGTGGCTCAGGATGGGAGTGGCCATCACATGCCCTGCTCAGAGACCCTCTTGAATCACTAATGTAACTGCTAATAACGGGGCAACAAAGACCCAGAATTGACCCTCCTCCCCTTTAGGGTCACAGGCTCCTGTGACCAATGTGGTGTTTCTAGCTGGTAAGCCTTAACATTCTGTACCAGAACCATCCTGGGCCTGGGGCAAGCCGCTTAGGACCCATGGGTTTGGAGGTATTTGGGACAGTGGTTTATTTGCTGGCAGCGGGAAGACCTAAAAAGGCAATCCAAAGGCTGAATGAATGAAAGCGGAGAGGCAGCTGTGCTGAGAAATCCCTCCTGCCTCTCGGGGTTCGAGAGCAGCGCGTCTCGGAGGTGGCCAGGCGCCCCCGTGCACGGTGCATGGATTGAAGGTTGGATACGCCGGACCCCAGGGGATTCAGATCAGAAGTCCTGTTCTGAGTCCTCGGTGCCAGGAGGTGGTGGCCTGCTTTAACTCTCCGCTCCCCCGGGCAGCTTCTGTAGGTTGAGGATGCAGGCGGCACGCAGAACGGTTTACCAGCAGAGGGCAGCTGAGGGGTTAACTCCCCAAATCAAGGACTGGGAGAAGAGGAGGGAGACCTGGTTTGGAGTAGTTCCCTCAGAGCGTGTGCTGGAGCCTTCCTCCCATTCGCCTGCAAGCCCGGCCACCACCCTAGGAGCGGCGTGGGGTCAGGGGCACTCCCGCCTGCCCTCTCCCAGAATATGGTGACGTGAGGGTTAATGGGAGCACGCGCTCGCGTCCCCGAACTACCCCAGCACGGGGGCTTTCGGGGAGCCCGAATAGAACACCGAGATGTCCAGTATGGAGAACAGCTTCGATGATGTCTCTTGCCTCTCTCCCCAGAACCTGGGATCCTCATCACCAAGCAAAAAGCACAGCAAGGAAAACACCATCACGGTAAGCGACTTACGCTGGGTGCCCACAGGTTGGGGCGAGCTGGGGCTCTTCTGCCATGCTGGGCGGTTGCCATGGCAATGTGGACCGCCGAGTGCAAGCCCAGCCTGGCATCTGGGAAGTTCCAAAGCTTGGATGTGGTGGAAATTCACCCCCACCCCTGCTCCTACCCGCACCCGCTCCCCGTGCCTTCTGTTAATTTCACCTTTCACTTTTTTCCCTCCGGGTGACCGAGTGCAGGCGGGGTGGGAATGATGCAGAAGCCATCGTCACAGGGCGGGCGGTGGGGGTGGGGGGTACACATGCCCAGGCGGGCTGGAGGGGGTGGACTGTGCTCGGCACCAGCAATGTGACATGTAAATTACAGCCACAGCGGGTTGCTTTCATGCGGGGTGACTTGTGGAAGGTGTCAAAGTTAAAAACAAGAGAAAGCACCCTAAGAATAGAGTTCCGGACGGGAGCAGGCAGCTCTTGCCAGCCCGCCTCCTGGGCTCTTCCAGAAGCCCACCAAGCCCCCATGGGCAAGCTGAGGAGGGTCCCCCCCAACACACACACACACACACACACCCCAGCCCCGTGTTGGGGAAAGGGGGCAAATGCCTTGCTCCGACTGCAAGAACTAGAGATGTGAGAAGTGTGGTCCTGGATGTGCTGCTTGGTTGTGAGTGCAGGGGAGCTGGGAATGGGGGACCTGCTCCCCCAGGCTCCAGTAGGGGCAGTTCTGAGCCATTCTGACCACCCCCACGGACATGAGACCGAGAGTGGGTATGCTTCCCTGGCTTGTGCACGCTGAAGATCCTGCTCTGGAAGAAGAGAGACGGTTGGGTATGCGGTGACATCAGCAACAATAATTGTTTCCCCTTTGGTGTGCGTGCACTGAGTGTTCCTAGTGGCTCGTTGAGCTCTCCACTCGCTGTGTGAGGTGAAGGTGACAGGACCAGCTTCACGTGGTGGCTGTGAACAATGGCTCTGGAGCCAGAGGGACTGTTAAAGCACCTACTAGCTGCACAGAAGCCTGGGGCGAGTTTCTCTGCCCCGTTGTGCCTCAGTGTCCACATCTGTACAATGGGGAGATGGTGGGTGTCTGTGCCCTGGGGGTGGGGTGAGGACTAAATGAGTCTGTATGCAGAAAGCACTTAGAACAGAGCCTGGTGCGTAGTTACTGTGCTCAGTGCGCACTCATCTTCTCGACCCTGTTTACAGATGGCAAAACTGAGGCAGGCGGCCATGCCTCGCCTGGCTGGGGTGCATCAGGATTCAAGACCTGTGCTCTCCCCGCCTGTGGAGGTTGCCTGTGGAGGAGCGTGGGGCCTGGGGCAGGGCGTGAGCCGGCCCCAGGGGCAGACCTCCTGGGGGCATCATCCTCATCTCCAAAGTGCCGCAAATGCCCCAGAGGCGAAGCGGAAGCCCCCTAAAGTTCCCAGAAACGGGGGAGAAAGAGGGAGAAGAAGGGGAGGGCGGTATATTAGAATTGTAGAGGAAAAGTGAAAAGGACAAATGCAAAGTGGAAAGCACTTGGCTGATGGGGATGGTCCTGGGGACTCCAGGGTGGGGCCCGAGTCACCTGCTGTGCCCTGGCTTTGGGCCAGAGCTTGGCACTTGGTCAGAGTCTCCTCTCCGGTTCATTGTCTGTCCCTGCCTCTCGTCTTCCCTCTGCCTTCCCACTGACCTAAATCAGAGCTTCTCAGAGCGAGCCTGCAAAGTGGAGTCGGCAGCCTTAGCCTCTGGGACACGTGTTTAAAATGCAAGTTCCTCGATGGGTTCCTTCCTAGACCGACACTTAGTTGATCTGGGGCCCACTGGGACATTTGCATTGTCACCAACACCCCCGGGGGTTTTAAATAAACACTTAAGCCTCCGGGAATTTTTGCTGGAGAAACCGAGGACAGGAGGGACTGGCCAGAGGGCACGGAGCAGGCAAGGAGCAGAGCCCCGGCCTTGGGCTGGGTCTGCCGGCTGCCCGCCCAGAGGGCCCCGGACACCCCGCACGTGTCCGGGCCGAGATGGGTGCAGGCCTGCATGCAAGCTGCTGTTCTTTCCTGTCCACGGAGCACTCGATCCCCACCCCCCAGCCCTGTTCCCAGCCCTCCCTCTGGGCTCTGATCCTCCAGAGCTCATAGTTTCCCAGGGAGGAGACCCCGCCGGGCCACTGGATGGGGTTGGGGGGGTTGAGGGGTGCCCAGCTCCCGGGGCACAGGCTAGTGGGGACAGGGTGAGCAATCTCCCATGTTGTCGGATCCCACCGAGCTGACATTTGCAGGCATTCGCTCAGATGCTTGCTGGGCAACAAAGGGCGGTGGCATCCAGGTGGGGCTGAGGAGCCAGGATTGAACTTGATTCTGACATTCCAGCTTTCCCTCCCTGCGCTGGCCTGGAGCAAGCTTCGGGCAGGGCCAGCCGTGGGGTGGGTTGAAATCTAGAGGATTCCAGAGGAGATGATGACAAAGCCACACTCCTCTCCTGGAAAGAGGAATCTGGGGGACTCTAGCCTCCGCTTCCCGATGTGGCGCATCGGATGCCCTGGATCCCTGGGGGGGGGGGAGCTGGTGGGCTGGAGGTGAGCCCTTGGGGTCTTTTCTGCTTCCACAGACCCTGTTGCTCTGACTTCTCCTCCTCCACAGCCTCCCACATCAGCAAATTCAGAGCCAGCTGCCAGATAGGTGGGTGAAGGACCCAGCTCGGCGCTGGGCCAGGACTGGGGGCCACGGGGGATGCGCTCAGGACTCCCCACGTCAGGCCCCTTGGGTGGGTCGCAGGTGTGTTCAGCAGCTGTGATATTATGGCCAGGGCCTTAAGTGGTGGTCACAGCCCCCTTAGAACGCCCCAGAGAGTTTTGGTGGGGGGCTGCCCTGGCAGAGCCTCAGGGAAGAGAGGGGCTTACTCTGTGTATCTGAGGGTTGGAGAAAACAGTTGGTGTCAGCGTGAAGATGTTACTGGTCGCGGACGGTGATCTCAGGAGGAGCGAGGGTGGGGGCGGCTCCCGGAACTTCTCCCAAACAGTCACTGAGAGGCATACCCCCTCTCCTGCTCCCTGTTGAGCACCCCTTCCTACCCGAGCCCCTGCCTTGGGTGGGGTGTGGAAGGTAGCGTGACGAGAGTTAACAACAGCCGGATTGCCTGACTTCAGACACGGACTCTCCCATGACGCAAGCTGTGTGATCTTGCAGAACTTGCTTAACCTCTCTGTGCCTTACTTTGCTCCTCTGTAGAACGGGGATGATAATGGCAGCCACCTGGTGGGTAAAGCACCTGGGGCAATGGCTGGTATGTTATTAGCTCTTCTCGGAGCAGAAGGCGGTTCCTTAGCATGTCCCCTGTGTTTTCGGGGAGGAGGATGCCTTCAAGGCTCGTGCTTTGCCCAGGAGGCTTTGGGAGGAGGGCAGGCTTTGTCCTGGAGATGGTGTTAACCTGGAAAATGTCCCCCCGGGGGGCACGGGAATCCACACCTGGAGGTTTCCATTTGCTCATCTTTTCGGTTGGCTACTCTTCATGGTGGGGGGCAGTCCTGCACATGGTGGGATGCTTACCTCTACCCGCCAGGGACTATTAGCAGTGCCTCCCCCATTTTGTAACAACCACACGTTTCCACATTTTGTAACAACCACAAATGTCTCCATTGGCCTTGCCAAATGCCCCCGGGTGGGGGTGGGGTGGTAAGAGAGCAAACTCGCCCCCAGGTCGACAGTCACTGAGTTCGCTTCTTGGTGCTGGGAGGTCTCCCTGCACAATCTCTCATGTTCTCTGCTTATCCTCTCTGCTGCGTGGCTCGGAGCCCCCATCACGACTCCCAGTCCCGGGGGAGCCTCCCTGGTGGCCGAGGTCCGTGTTTTTCCTCCACAGAGCTCACCCCACCAGCAGCCCAGTCAGGTCACTGTCCTGCTAGACATTTCTGGGCCTCCCACGCCTGCAAGGCCCCCCTCTGGCCTCAGTTTAACTGCGTTCCCCTGCTGTGGGTGCATCCTCAGACCCCGGGCCCTTTTCCTCCCTGCAGCCCTCTGTACCTCCCACCCACCGTCTGCCTAACCCTCACTCTCTTATTACCCTAAAACTCGCTCAGGTTCCTTTCCCCAAGCCCCAGGCCTTCCAGCAGTCCCAGCGCCCACGCTTACCCCAGTGGTATATTTATCCCAAAGTCGTGCAATCACTTCTGTACTTGTTTGCCTTCCTCGAGGGGCTACAAAACTGTCGAGGACAGAGACCATTCCGTCCGCCTCTGGCCTTTGGTCATTGCACCAAGAAACTCTTTCGGAGCATTCCTCGGGGGCCTGTGCTTGCCAGGGAATAGGGAAACAGCAGGGAAAGGGTCTCCTTCCCCTCCTGGAGCAGACGGTCTGGCCAATTAAATGGTCATGAGAAGTGTAATTACAAATGCATGTGTGCAAAGTGCTGGAAAGATCTAGCATTGTGAGGGGCATGCGAGAAATGTTTGCATGCGTTCGGTGGACGAGCAAGCGTTCCTCTGAATAGCAGTGCGGTTGAGGTGTGAGCTCTGCTGTCAGCCCAGCCCGGATTCAGAGTCTAAGCTTCTGTGATCTTTCGTTTCCTCCTGTAAAATGAGGCCCATGGTACCCAGCTCGTGGGGCTGCTGGGATGATGACGTGGGAATGTGTGCAAGGCTCCTGGTGGGGAGCCCGAGGGAAGGGCTCCTCAGGGATTCCCAGTGGTTACAACTGCCTCCCCACCAGGGGGCTGGCGGGCGTGTAGTTCTCGGGCTGCCCACAGGGGGTGCAGAGCTCGGAGGAGCCCTGGGGGAATCCCCGTGGGCCCGCTGGGAGCAGACATCCCCAAACCAGAGTTGGTAGAGGCAGAGGGCGCCCCTGGCCAGTCCATCCAAGGACCCGTGTCCCCTACAAAGTGGTAGATGCAATGACAGGGATGAGTCCTTATCCTCCCCACCCCCCTCACCTCTACCCCCTGGTCTTTCCTACCCCTCCCTACTTCCCTCTGGAGTGGGCATCTCGGCCCTTCCTTCCACCAGGTGTGTGTATCCCGGAGGAGGGGGCTCCTGTCCTTGGCTGGGACTTCTCCCATGCTGTCCTTCCGGGACTGCAAGCGAGACCCAGGCCCCTGGCAGCCGGGGCGGGATGCTACATCTACTCAGCCGCCCGTGAGCCCCTGGACCCCGAGGTCAAGGCTGCGGGCCCCTGGGCCTGACTCAGCTTGGCCTTACACGGTGCTGTCATTGACGTTGTCCTCACTATTATTCCCATTAACTTTGAATTACGTGCCAACATTTAAACATGGAGACGCTTCACACACTCATCCCGATTTTCAGCCTCTCTTGGGTCGTGTCACCTGATGGACGACCCACTGGACTCCTGCTGGCTTGCCAACAGCTAGCAGGAGCCAAGAGGAATCTGCTCGTTGCACAGATCTCCGCAGACCCCACCCCTTGCCAAAGCGGAGGCCGGTCGCCCCCACCCCAAACCGCAGTTTCCGTGCAGGCGGGATCTCACCTGTTTGCACAGCTGCCTCACATTAGAGTTTGAGGCCTCTGTCCAGAACCCCAGGGTTTTCTGCACAGTGCCTGCCTCGAACATCAGGCGGCTCCACGGTGAGGCTTACAAAGAACTCCAATGAACAGGCTCCCCAGGAGCGGATCCTGGGCTTGAGGCGACACCAGCAAGAGCAGTGGTAAAACCATTTCCACCTGGCGGGGAAAGCTGGGACACCGCGGACATGCTTGGGCAGGAAAGTCTGAGACAGGCCCCAGGAATGTCTGCACTGCCCTCTCCCCAAGCACACACCCTGCGTGATCGCTTTCAACTCTCTTTGTAGAATACGTACGGTGATTAAAACGCACACGGTAACCTCTCAGCCGAGTAGTTCCTCTCTCTGGAAGGAGGTGAGGTTATCAGCTTCCAGAAGTATTCTATAGGTAAATAACCAAATGTGTACATATTTTCTCCTCTTCTCTTCCTCTCTTTCTACACAAATGGAAGCATCCTATAAATACCATTCTACATGTTGTTTTTTTTCTTCCCCACTTAATAATAGGATTATTAATAATTAATAATTAATAATAATTAACACATAAGAACTTTCTCCCGGTGTCTTCTGCTGCCCATGCAAATGCCAGAGATGCCCCCCATGCCCCCCGCCCCCGGCCTGTGCTCTGTGTGACCACTCCCCTGCTCATGGACAGTGGGGTTGTGTTTTTGCTGCTACAGATGGGTCTGAAAGACCGTGCGTGCATCATTGCACGCACACGCAGATACATCCGTAGGGCGTGCTTTTTGAATTGCAGTCCCTGGTTTGGGGGCTCAGGTCATGTGCGGTGTTGATGGATCCTGTTACACTGCCCTTCAGAGCGTTGGGACCGGTTCCAGCCCCTCGGGGGTAGGCGTGAGTGCTGTTGCCCCTCATTTGAAATGCGGGCCCCTGGAGCATCCCAGGACTTCAGGGCGCATCCTGTCAAGCTGGCGCTGACGGGAGACCTCGGTGATGCTGTGTTCCAGGGGCAGAGCCCTCCCAGCTGCTCCCAACCCCCCAGACAAGGTGTTTCCTTTCTTGTTCTGTGCCCTGCAGATAAACTGCGTGACGTTCCCACACCCAGACACGATGCCAGAGCAGCAGCTATTGAAACCGACCGAGTGGAGCTATTGTGACTATTTCTGGGTAAGTGTGCCTCAGTTTCCCCCACCGTGTGACCATCCCCCACCACGCCCTCCCCCCTGAGGATCAGGAGTGGACACCCAGAAGGGGCATGAAGGGCTGGAGCTCAAAAAAGAGGGTCCTCTCCAGTTGATACCTGGTGGTAGATTTAGGGTCCAAGGCAGGAATTTAAGACCCTCTTTGGAATCCAGATCATTCCCTAAATCTCAGAGAATCAACACGATTTTCATTCAGGGCAACACGGAAACCCCGGACAGGATGCAGATAAGCACAAGGGTCACTTCTTGGCTGCTCGGTAAGGGCAAGAGCCTAAAGCCAACTTCAGTGGAGGTGCCTGGGCAGGCTCAGTCGGTTAAGCGTCCAACTCTGATCTCCACTCAGGTCTCGATCTCAGGCTGGTGAGTTCAAGCCTCGCATTGGATTCCAGGCTGGGGGTGGAGCCTACTTAAAAAAAAACAAAAACGGATAAGATGGTACATTTTATCTTATGTGTATTTTCCCACAATTAAATAAGTATCTTTTGACAAATGCACAGCCCACCTGCTCACTCTAGGAATAGCCCTTGGCGTGGGCATTTAAAGTCAGCAATGACTTTCAAAGTGAGATCACCTCATTCTGGATTCACATAGTGCTGATGGTTGCTCAACCTTGTGAACATATTAAAAAACCACTGACTTGTACACTTTAGGAGAAAAACAACAACAACTTTTGCAGGGACCCCGAGGAACAATAAATAAACAGAATAAGAGCTGTTTGTTTCCCCACCATGCAGAATGGATTGCTACCCGTTTTTAGATTTGCTAGCCAAGCATCAGACATAAGTGCTGTGTTCTGTTGACAAGTCACTTGCGTTCTCGAAGATACCCGGCGATTCCTGTTGGCCCTGCTGGTGTTTCTTCCTGGTCTCGGGGGGATCTGTGCAGGGAGCAAACATCGTGAGGAAGGTTCTCTCGGGCGGCAGGGGTCAGAGTTTACGAGACCCTGTAGGCCCTGTGAGCACGCTGGGGTTCCCTCTGTTTGCAGTAGGAAGCTGTTGGAATAGGATGTGATGTGGTTCAGAAGCATCGTGCGGGGAGGGCTGTGAGTGGGCGGGGGTGGACATCAGCAGCAGGTGCAGGAGTTAAAGAAGGATGGTGGCAGCCACAGAGATGAGGAGAAGTGGCTGAGATTACAGACGTCATTCCTAAAGAGGGGTGCAGGAAGCAGAGCATTCAGGGGAGACTTGCTGGCGCCCTGGGAATGCACACCCCAGGAGCTGGAGGTCAGGGTACATGGGGTTTCACGAGGGGGCATTGGGGAGCCTTGGGGCCCCGCCACTGGTTGGCATCCAAGAGAGCGATGTTTGTGCGCCCTTGTCCTCATTCAGGCTCTGCCGGGATCTGCTACTTTGGGTTTTATTTTCCCGACTACCACTTTTTCCTCTAACAGAAATCTCCCTGCTGACACAGTCATTCAAGCCCACCGTTTCTGGCTGGTTTTCCCGAATGTGGACACATCACTCGGCACGCCCATCCATTGTGGGAGGCAGATTGGGGCTCTGTATTTTGGGGGATTTTTCTTTTGCTTTAACCACGGTGTAGCATTTACATGATGAGGTGCACAGATCTTAAAAATACTTGGAGAAACTTTTAATTGGCCAGAGCAGCCGTGCCATGACTCGGTGCGTCCCGTGGGGGTAGTGATCTCCCTGTCACAAGAGGTATTAGCAGTGTGGCCCAGTGGGCTTTTTGTCAGGACAGCCGAGGAAAGGGGATCCCATGTTGGGGTCGGGGAGTTGGCGGGGGATGTCCATAAACTTTTCAAATGCTTGATGATAGGAAGTGGGGTTCTTTCTAGACATCACCCGCCCCTTTCTGAAATTTCCAAAATTCCCTTTTCCTAAACATCTGCTCTGGAAGGGTTCTTAGAGATGCAACTCAGTCCTATTGCAAAGGGGGGAGCTGGGGGGACACAGCCTAGGATTGGAAAGGCCTGACTGTGTCACCTGGGGCTGGACCCTGGGACAGGGTCCTCACCGACGCACCTGTCTGAAATCAAAAGATGCATTTTTAACCCCTTCCATTAAGTACCAAAGCATCTTACTCTGGATTCTTGGTGGGGAAGGGCTGTAATGGGGGAGAACATGGCTTTAGGTGGGGTACCAGCCTGGGGCTGAGAAGTCTCTGAGAGCCCTATGGGCAGATGCCGGGAGGAATGTCCTGCAGGGAAGGCTGAGCCTAGGGGCTGCCAGGCAGGAAAGAGGTATTCAGGTGTCCTTGAGGAAATGCAGGCAAAACAAAAGAGAACATTTAACTTTGAAATTTTGAGAGTATTTGCTTGCAAATGGATCCGGTACTGAGCTCCCGTTTCATTGACTTGGTCATCTTCCCCAAGTCCTGATTTAGTTAAAAGTTGACTAGTAGTAGATACCGCTTACTGAGCATTCAGGGTCTGGCCAGCACTGTGCTAAGCCGTTTCCAGAGGCCGCTTATGCTGAAATGACCACAGGAAGTGGATGCCAGTATTCCCCAGCTTCACAGATGAAGCAGCTCAGGCTTGGACCAAGTGGAGAGCTTGCCCGAGACTTCCCAGCTGGGATGTCAACCCTGGCACCTTGCCCTTTTCCAGAACTCTGGCCTCCCTTCAGTCCGGTCTCTCCCAGAAGCCCCCGTGATCTTGTGTGAGTGTGTGTGAGAGGATACCATGGCCTGGCTGGTGCAGGGGGCTGACAGGAGACAGGAGGGCTTACGGCTAGGGTCACCTGCCCCCAAGGCCACAGACTATGTCAGGCCACCAGGACTCTCCCCGGAGCTTCCAACCAGCCTCAGCAGCTACCTGGTTGGAAGTAGGAGGTGTTGGGCATCGGCAGCCTGTGCTCCTGGCCACTTGCCCTTTTTCCTTTTCTTTCCCAGATTGGGAGAATTGAGGGCCATGGACGTTGGCGGGCGGCGGGTGGGGGGAGGGGGCGTCAGCGGCTGCAGGGCTCAAGCATCAGCGCACATGTGAAGGTGGGGGGCAGCCGGAGAGACATGAGGTGGGACAGTGGCCACAGCCTTGCCCTTGGGCTGAGGTCCGCTCACCAGGGGCACCCGGATCCCTTCGGGGACCGCCTTCCCCACGCTCCATTCCCTGCGGCTCTGGGCACCCCGGTCTCCTAATCTCTCGTGCTTCTGTGTCCCTTCTAGGCTGATAAGAAGGACCCCCAAGGCAATGGCACGGTGGCTGGGTTTGAGCTCCTGCTTCAGAAGCAACTGAAGGGCAAGCAGATGCAGAAGGAGATGTCAGAATTCATCCGGGAGAGGTGAGGCCCGGGCCCCTCCCAGCTCCTGCGGCTGCGGACAACCCCCCCTTGGCCCCTGAGCCTGAGGTCGGGGAGCGGCCGGAATGAGCACTGGGCCTGGTTAGCACCACGGGGAATGTGAGGCTGGGGGGCTCTGGCTTGTCTTGAGAAGGCCGAAAGTCTGGCAAGAAAGGCTCACAGAACAATGGACCGGAGCCAAGTGGCAGCCACCCTTTAGAGGTAGCATGAGGTCTGGTTTGCCACAGTCTCCACCACTCCCTGCTGTCTCCCTACATAGACTGCTTAGCTCCTTGACTTACCTGCGTGGCCCTCATTGGAAGCCCTGTCCCCGTCATAACAAAAGAGGACAATGTCGCCTTGTAATTCATCTTTGAACCCAAACCGTGTCCCGGACCTGGTCCCCCCATCCCTGTGTTCAGGGAGCTCGATGAGATGGGAGAGTCAGGTGAGGTCACTGTGACAGGTGCAGGGGTTATGATGGTGGTTTTTCTGAGGGATGGTTTGTCTGAACGAAAACGAGGAAACCGTACATTCAGCCTAATGGGAACAGGAAAAAGTAGAAGGAGAAGTTCCTTCTCTACCTTCCTGCCTGTCAGTCCCTCCAAGTTCTGAGACCCTCTAAAGCACACACCTACCTGCACACACATACACACAACTCCCACCTGGAGTTTCCAGGGCACGCTGGAAATATTTACAGTAAATGCCAACATATTTAAAAAAATTTTTTTAAGGATAACCATAATGTAGTAATAATTCTTTGGCATTTTATTTTATTTTATTTTTTAAATTTTATTTATTTATTTGAGAGAGAGAGAATGAGAGAGAGCATGAGAGGGAGGAGGGTCAGAGGGAGAAGCAGGCTCCCCGCTGAGCAGGGAGCCTGTTGCGGGACTCGATCCCAGGACTCCAGGATCATGACCTGAGCCGAAGGTAGTCGCCTAACCGACTGAGCCACCCAGGCGCCCTTCTTTGGCATTTTAAAGCACCTCCTCTTTTCCTTCGGAGGCCTGTTTTCTATTTGTATAATCAGATCTCTATCTTACGAGCCGTTACGCTGGTAGGGAATGGAGAGGATGCGTAGCTCAGGTGTGCACTAATAGACGTATAAAGCAGGTGGATGGGAAAAATGGCCATAGAGTCAGAGTTTGAACACACGTACGGTGTTGTCCCTTCGTAAAAATGTCGTGTTAGCAGATAAACGGGATCTGCCACCTGAGAACACACTGGCCTTCCGTGGGCAATGCAGACTTTTCTCGGCAGATCTTTCCGAGCCGGGAGAGGTGAGAGCGGAGGTGGAGCATGCTGGGGCCGGGGTGTTCCCCGGGGCCCCCGTGTAGGGCAGGGCTCGGAGGGGATGCCGGTGCTCTCTCCAGAGACAGGCCGGCCGTGTGCCTGGCGTGTGCATCGAGGAGCTTTGGAGGTGTGAAGCTAGGAGCGCTTGGACCTGCTTTCGAGAGAGACGTGTTGGCCGCGGGCTGGGGGCTGCACACCGGCCGCCCACGTCACCCTGGGGAGGGCAGAGCGATGGCAAGGGGGTGACGGAGGGACCCGGCCAGAGGTGGCGGTGAGGGCAGACCCGTGAGAGGGAACGTGGCCGTGGGTCTCTCAGGGCAAAGCAGAAGATAAATCTTACTCAGACTGATGCCAGGGGGCTCCGTCGGGGCCCCCCCCCCCCCCATTCCATATCACTGCACGTGTGGGCCATCAGCTTCCCAGCGGCCGGGAACAGATGCTGCAGGTCCCCGAGTGGCCTCGGGGGCCTTCCCGTTTGCCGAGTGATGGGCTCGGGGCTTCGAAGTGGTGGCCCTGGGTGTCCCAGCACGCCCCAGAGGACCAGTCAGGCGGTGAGCATTGCCTTTGACAACACTGGAACAAGATGTGCCAGATAATACAGAACACTCCTCCAGAGGGTTGCCTGGAAAGTGTGTCAAGGGCCCGCCTGCTGGAAGCCAAATCCAAGGCCACTTCCCTCTCTAGGGAAATGGAATCAGCCCCAGCTCTGGGCACTGCCTGGTTTCCATGGAAATACTTGTCCCTGCTGGCTTGACAGTTGGAGGCATGGGGAGGGGGGAGGGAGGCTGGGAGCCCGCGGGGGGGGGGGGGTGTTTTTCCTGCTTCCCAAGGGCTGTCACCACGTCGGAGGGTCTAGGCCCCGAGTGCTGGGGCCAGAAGGGAGGCAGCCCCGGGTGTCCCGGTGGTCCATCATGAGTTACGTCTTGATCTAAAGGCCTCCCGTGTGTCCAGCCCTGGGCTAGGAGCCATGTGAATGAGAGTACTTCTTCCCGGCCCTGGAGACAGGTGGAAATACCCCTTTACAGGTGAACAGACAGAGAGATTCACGTAAGTCCGTCCAGCCAACGAAGGTTTTTTAAGCACCTGCTGTGTGTTGGGTGTATAGGCAAGAGCCTTGACCTCTCAGAGCGTGTGGTCTAGTGGGTTCCTTTTCCGCGGTCAGTAAGCGCTAGGACTGCAGGTTAGACCCACGGCCTGGTGCTGGAGAGCTGACGTGTGGGGTTTTCTCCCTTTGCAGGATAAAGATCGAAGAGGAATACGCGAAAAATCTAGCTAAGCTCTCTCAGAACTCCTTGGCTGCTCAGGAGGAAGGGTGAGTGTGGAGGATGGTGACGGAAATGGGGAGAAACCACAGACGGGAAAGGGGGGGGTTCCTCCTCACCGATCCCTGATCGCTGCCATGGTCCACTGAAATGGGGAAGTTCTGCATAGGCCTGGCTCCAAGTGGGCAGTTCCACATTATTTTCTCTCTAGTGACCAAGGGCCTACCACCCCCTCTGCCCTGTGCCCGTAGCTAGACACTGGCCCCCAGACACTCACCCAGTGCCCCTCTCTCTGGGAGCAGGCTGGTGAGGCACTGGGTGGGAGAGGATTCTGGACCCAGGCCCTTGTTTAGAATCCTCTCCCATGGGCCCGAAGCCCAGGCTCCCCTCCCTCTCCAGCTGCAGTGGCCCAGACCGCCTTGGGTCGAGCCTGGGCTGGGGGAGGCTCAGCACCACCCTCTCAACCACAGAGGGGTCCCTAGTGGTGGAAGACTTAATAAGGCTTCTCTGCTCATCTCTTGACAAAGACTTGTAGCCGGCTGTGGGAATGTAAAATGGAAAACAATTTGGCAGTGCCTCGGAATGCCAACCAGGATTACCGAACGACCCAGCAATTCCGCTCGTAGGTTTAGACCCAGAAGAATTGAAAACAGATACTCAGACAAATAAATGTGCCCACATGTTCATAACAGCACGATCCATGATACCCAAAACATGCAAACAACCCAAATGTCCATCAAGGGACGGATGGATGAACAAATTGTGTCCATCTGCACTGGATATATGGATATGTGATGGAATATTATTTCGCCATAAGAAGGAATCCGGTCCTGATCCGGGCTACCATGTGGATGAACCTCAGAAATACTATCCTAAGTGAAAAAAGTGGGATGAAAAGATTGCACTTGATAGGATTCCATTTATATGAAATGTGCAGATAGGCAAACCCACGGAGGCAGAATGAGGTGGGCGGTTGGCCAGGGGAGCGGGCAATGGAGGGTAACAGCCTCATGGGTTTGGGGTTTCCTTTTTGGGGTGCGTATTCATCTGCTTGGGCTGCTGTAACAGAATCCCATAGACTAGGTGGCTTCGACAACACGAATACAATTTATCCTGGTTCTGGAGGCTGGGAGGTCCAAGATCACAGTGCCGGCGGGGTTGGGGTCTGGCAAGAGCGCTCCTCTTGATTTGTAGGTGGCCGCCTTCTCCCTACAGTCTTCCCTCGGTGTGGAGAGAGAGCAGACTCTCTGGAGTCTCTTCTTTTTTATTTTTTAAAGATTTTATTTATTTATTCATGAGAGACAGAGAGAGAGAGAGAGGCAGAGGGAGAAGCAGGCTCCCCGCAGAGCAGGGAGCCCGATGCGGGACTTGATCCCAGGACCCTGGGATCATGACCTGAGCCGAAGGCAGATGCTTAACGACTGAGCCACCCAGGCGCCCTGGAGTCTCTTCTTATAAGGACATGAATCCTACTGGATCAGGGCCTCACCCCGTTTGACCACATTTGACCTTAATTATTTCCTTAGAGGCCCCATCTCCAAATAACAGCCACACTGGGGTGGGAGGCTTAGGGCTTCCACATGCGAATTTGGGAAGGACACATCATATGAATTTGGGGTGGGGGCTTAGGGATTCAACATATGAATTTGGGGGGCCACACTGGGGTGCGGGGCTTAGGGCTTCCAGATATGAATTTGGGGGGGTCCATAACGGGAATACAGATGTTTTGGACCAGGACAGAGGTGGCGGTTGCACGATATGGTGAATGTACTAAACGCCGTGGGATCGTCCTCTTTAAAACAGTTAATTTTAGGGGCGCCTGGGTGGCTCAGTCGTTAAGCGTCTGCCTTCGGCTCAGGTCATGATCCCAGGGTCCTGGGATGGAGCCCCGCATCGGGCTCCCTGCTCGGCGGGAAGCCTGCTTCTCCCTCTCCGACTCCCCCTGCTTGTGTTCCCTCTCTCGCTGTGTCTCTCTCTGTCAAATAAATAAATAAAATCTTTAAAAAAACCCCCAAAAAACAAAAAAAAACCCAGTTAATTTTACATAACCTGAATTTTGCCCCCCATCATAAAGACGACCAGACTCGGGAGGGGAGAGTTGAAAGGTCCCCCGAGGTCTTCTCCCCAGTGCCTCCCTCCCTCCGGGGCAGGCCGTGCTGGAACCCCTCCTGCAAGGGGAAATGAGCCCCGAGGACGGTGGACGTCCTGTCGTGGGTGCTTGTGGTCGTCGGACGGCGGCGACGTTAAGTCCAAATCCCCCCGCGCAGCTTGAAGCCTACAGGGGACGGGCCACGCCAGCGCAGGGTGGCTTTGATTCAGGCCTCTCTGCGTGGGCTCGCCGTGCAGCCAAGAGGCCCTCTGTGGTTTGCCACTGACCCGGTGGCCCCTTTCTGCCCTGCACACTAGGCCCCAAGACAGGGGTAGGAAGTGGGGAACACGGCTGGGGGAGGTCACCCCTCCGCCCCGGCATGGAGGCTTTCCTGGACATCCCCCTGCCCTGCAAACGCAGTGCTGCTCTCGGGTCTTCCGGCTTCCACCTCCTCGGCCTGGGCTGCTGCCAGGGACGCTGCATCCTGCCAAGAGGCTCAGCATATGCTCCCAGCTGCACGAGCCAGGCCTGCGCCACATGCCGTATACACACATGCACTTACAAAACCCGGGCAGCCCAGCACACGGTCGCCTCGCGTGCATGGACGCCGTGCCCCTGCGACACGGGCGTGAACGCGCACCCCGTCGCGGCTGCACGGGCGCACTCCTCCCAGCAGGCTCCCCTGGGGTGTGTGAACACGTGGGGTGCCCCCCCCGACATGCAGCAGTGCTGTTCTGCATTTGCTTTGGACCTTAGCGGGGTGCACCTTGCAGTTTTCAAGCGCAGTGCCAGAGCCTGGAACCTTGGGGCAGCCCGGGAAGATGCTGGGGGGGGGGGGGCCATCGGGCGCCGCGGCCAGATTCCATTCCGGAGGGCATGTGCACTGCTTATTTATCCCATCTTCCGTTTCTCTCGCCTGTGTGGAAAGGCAATGGGATTTGGGCCCTTTTGGGCCCTTTTTTCGTTGGTAACGGTGACGTGGGGTGCGTTTCGATTTGGCATGCCTCAGACTGCGTATTGCGATGGAAATGTATCTCAGGTTTTCTTTCTTTCATTAACCTCTCGCCAGATGAAAAAAATCTGTCTTCAAGCGAGAGAATTTCTTTTTTTTTTTTTTTTAAGATTTTATTTATTTATTTGAGAGAGAATGAGAGAGAGAGCACATGAGAGGGGGGAGGGTCGGAGGGAGAAGCAGACTCCCTGCCGAGCAGGGAGCCCGATGCGGGACTCGATCCAGGGACTCCACATGACCTGAGCCGAAGGCAGTCGCTTAACCAACTGAGCCACCCAGGCGCCCCAAGTGAGAGAATTTCTAAATTGCTTTTTTTCCCCTAAGTTCCTTTTTTTTTTTTTTTCCCCTAAATTGCTTTTTTTTTTTTTTTTCTTAAATTCCAGGGGGCCTGGAGTTCTGGGGTTGGGGGAGCGGGGGTGGACCGGGGAGTGTGCTCGCTCAGAAGCACCCATCGGAGTGTTTGGAACGGGGTCCGCCCACCTGTGAATGCCCAGCCTGGGGGCGGGGCCTTGGACCTTGTCCTGAGCGTGACCCTGGGCTCCCTCCTTCTCCACAGCGGCACCCAGGTGACATTCTCAGGCCACTAAAGCTGCCCGGGGCCAGTTACTGACCATGCGCCCTGCTGACCGTAGCTTCACGGACTCAGCACCACCCCGGGCCTTTTTGGCTTCCAAGCTCTGGATTGTAGGCTCATGTGTAGCTTGGCTGCAGGGACAGACCTTCTCTGTCGGCCTTTTTTCGAGTTCCCCACTCCTCCCAGGCCTGCTTTTGCGTGGCGCCCGCTCTCACTGTAGATCTGTGATCCATCTTGAGATAATCCACGTGTATGGCGTCAGGTTAGGGTCGAGGGTTCTTTCTTTTCCCCTGCGGGTATACTGACCATTCGTTGAGAAGACCATCCTCCATCCCCCACGGAGGTGCTTGGCAGCGGGCAGGGCTATGTGGCACCTTCTGTTTGCGAAGGGCTTCTCCCTGAAAAGGTGGCTGGCCTTCTTCCTTGATAGACCAGCAAGCCCTTGCACTGCCCATCTATGAACAGGGATGGATGCCCGGAAGCATGGGGACAGTAACAGGCAGGTGTCCGGGCCCGCCCTGCAGCTGTACCCCACCTTCCTCTCGCATCTCCCCCGGTTCTCTGAGTTTCCAGATGTTTCCCCAGCCTCTGCTACCACCGGGCCCCTCAGCTCGGTTTGGGGCTGAGGTTTGGCTCACGTGGAGACCCACCGTCCCCCTGGGGAGGGGCCGAGATCTCCGATCTGGGTCTGACGTTCTCCCTCGTGTTGCAGCTCCCTGGGAGAAGCGTGGGCCCAGGTGAAGAAGAGCCTCGCGGATGAGGCAGAAGTCCATCTCAAGTTCTCCGCCAAGGTAAGCCGGCCCCGCGGCCTCTCTGGGTTGGCTCTGTGCAGCCATGTGCCGCTGAGTGGCTGGCGGTGGTCTCTCCGGTGTGTCCCATCGGCCTCTTTCCGTGGTCCGTGGTGTAGATTTCCAGTGCTGGAAAGAGAGCCTCAGGAGGTGTAAATGTCCATCAGCCACTCGGAGAATCGTAAAAGGTTCATAAGTGCTAGTAGTTATAAGTTTTTATTACCTTTGTTTTTAATACAATCTTACTAAGTGTAGATCATTGCATTTTTAACACTGGCCATCTTTAACAACCACCTCACAAAATTCCTACAAATTTAGCATTCGGCTCTTCCGAGCCTCCCTGGCACACGTCTGTGAGGTGAGAGTGGGTAGTACCTCTCAGTCCCTTAGGGGACCCCCACTCTCCTTCGCTGGAGGACCTTGCGGGCATGTTCTATTTCTTCATGCTCTCGGGAGAGGCTAGACTGTGCCACAGGGAGGATCTGTTGGTTTGGTTTGTGACCTTGAGGACAGTGCAGTTTCTGTCCTGTTCACTCTGCCCTTAGTACTCAGGGCAGTGTCTGGGGCACAGTAGATGCTCAATAAATGTTTTCCAAAGTAATAAATGAACAGGGACAACTGACTAGCTCCTTCCGACACCCCCGTCTTTTTAAGCCTACTTTTTCTCAGGATTTCTCCGTGTTTCCAAATGACCCTCTCTTCCCCACTCCCCAGCTCGTATCTCCAAATTCCATCTCAGGCTCTCACCTACTCTTCAGGGGGAGAAAATAAACCCAGTGTCTAAATGAAATAATTCATACTAAAGTGTGCATGACTGATAGGGCTACCTTTTAAAGGAAGAGAGACCCCTTGAGAGTAGCACCATTCTCGGGGACCTTTGTCTCCTGGGGTCCACACTCTCCCCACTGTCCCCAGTCAGACACAGCAGTCCGACAGGGCACTTGGGCAAAGCACTTAAACTCTGAGTCCCCATTTTGAAATTGGGAGGGCACCCTGCCTCCTTAACTACCGTAGGAAGGTAGCATCTCCCAAAGGCAGCTGCTCTTCCCTGACTCCCACACTCCGAGCTCATGGTTCCATCTGTTCTCCAGAGCTTTCCTCATTGTAATCGCCATTCTGGGCTTTGGGGTCCCCATGGGATGTGTGCTGTTGGAGGACAGGAATCCAGCTTTGTACACGTCTCACCACCCCACCCCGTGATGGTCCCCCCCTGCACACAGAGGGCAGAATGAAGGGCCCAAATGATTGGGACCCACGAAGCGGCTCTATAAAGATCTGGGGTGGGAGGAAAAACAGTGCTGTTAGAAGCTCCCTGCTTCTGAAGGATGTTAGTGCCCCAAGATTGGGTTGACTGATGACTCAGCCATGAGTGAAACTTTCAGGGCTCACAGCGGGACCCTAACCCAGCCACTGAGCACTTTGCGGGAAACTTGCCGGTCGGGTGTGGGGAGGGGGCTCCACGAGGCGTTTTTTTCCTGCCTTGTGCAAAGCAGTGAGTTATTTTCAAGCCGCCGATCGGACAGTGTTCCCTTCAGGCCTCCCTTCTCACGTCCTGACCCCGAGGGCTCTGCCCTCTGTGGAGGCAGAAGCCTCCACTGATGGGGGAGAGGGACAGGGGAGGCTGCCCGTGTGCAGTAGAGCTGAGTCTTCAACCTCTGAAAGGTCACCTGCGGGGTCCCCACGAACCCTGGTGGCACCTCCTGCTCATCAGCAGGACCCTCCGGTTTGATTGTTTCCAGGGTGCTCAGCAGGTGCAGCTCAGGTCCCACCAGTGAAGGGCTCCATCCCACAGGGTGCCCGTTGCAAGTAGTGGGTTCTGAGGTTACCCACACTTCTGTCTGATGTAACTGCAAATAAGGAGCTCCCACGACACCCTCCTTCCTTTTTTTTTTTTTTTAAAGATTTTATTTATTTATTTGACAGAGAGAGAGATAGCGAGAGCAGGAACACAAGCAGGGGAGTGGGAGAGGGAGAAGCAGGCTTCCCGCCGAGCAGGGAGCCCGATGTGGGACTCGATCCCAGGACCCTGGGATCATGACCTGAGCTGAAGGCAGACACTTAATGACTGAGCCACCCAGGCGCCCCCACGACACCCTCCTTCCATTTGATAATTTGCTGAATGGCTCACAGAACTTAGGAAGACCTGTACTTAGATTTACCAGTTTATTCTACATTAAAGGACATCATTAAGGATACAGATGAACAGCCGGATGAAGGGGTACGTAGGGCGAGGTCCAGAAGAGTCCTGAGCGCAAGAGCCTCTGTCCCCGTGGAGTTGGGGTGCTCACCAACCCAAAAGCTCTCCAAACCTGATAACTTATAGATTTTTGTAGATTTTCTTTTTTTTTTTTTAAGATTTTATTTATTTATTTGAGAGAGAGAATGAGAGAGAGAGCACATGAGAGGGGGGAGGGTCAGAGGGAGAAGCAGACCCCCCGCCGAGCAGGGAGCCCGATGCGGGACTCGATCCAGGGACTCCAGGATCATGACCTGAGCCGAAGGCAGTCGCCTAACCAACTGAGCCACCCAGGCGCCCTAGATTTTTGTAGATTTTCATCACGTAGGCATGATTACTTATTAACTCAATCTCCAGGTCCCCTTCCCTCCCCAGGGGGTGGAGGAGAGGTGGAAAGTTTCAAGCTTCTAATCATAACTTGGACTTTCTGGTGACCAGCCTCCATCCTGAAATTCTCCGGGAGACCACCAAGGTCACCTCATTAGAACAAAAGATGCTCCTGTCATCCAGGATATGCCAAGGGATTTAGGAGTTCTGTGTCAGGGACCAGGGTCAGAGACCAAATATTGGCACAAAAGATGCTCCTAGCCCCCCTACCACTTGGGAGATTACAACGTTTTCTGGAGTTCTGGCCGGGAGCCGAGGACAAAGGCCAAAATACGTATTTGTTGTATCAGAGTCTCCCAGTGTGTAAGCGTTATAGAAGGTTCTGTGCAGGGAATAACTCCTTTGCCTTGGTTTTATCAACCATCTTGGCAGTCAGCATCTGCATTTACAAATGAGCCTCACAGAGAGGCTCCATCGCAGCTCATGGTCATGCAGCCTCAGGCTTTTGCTCCGGAGGAAGCAAAGGGCAAGACTCAGTCAATTGGCGACTTGCCCCCCAGACTTCTCTCTGGGCAGACCAGTGGCCTTTAAAGCACAGAGGACTTCACCATGCGGCTGATGGGGGGGGGGGGGGGGGGACTTGTGACAAATGTTCGATGAGAGCTTCTGATGCCCCCAGCCTGTCCGTCCGTGTTGGCGGCCTTAGGGAATGAGAGTAGCAGCCCCGTGGGAGGACAGTGATTCCTCGAGGGCGAAGGGGCGCCGAGGATTTATTCATCTGCTGTGGATCACATGGCTCCATATGCCTGAAACCCATTTTAGCATCTGCTTCCAGAGGGCTCGTTGAAATTCCACTCTGAATGTTCCGTGTCGGGGGTGAGAGCTCCTTAAGAAATGCAATTTCGTCGGGGCAGTCTTTCAGGCTCTGCTCGTCTCCTGGTTCCAGCCACTTTTCGTGGCGACAGGCTGTTAAAGAAATAGGATTGCTGTACGCAAAGGAAGTGAGACCTGGCTTCAGCTGGGGAAGGGAAAATAGAAAATCTCTTTCTGATGGAAGAGAAGTCTCATCATGCAGGAGAGGCCATGCATGCAGACGGAAGATCTTAGGGAGACAGTGGGAGTCAAGAGACGTGAGTTTTGTACTGGTGCTCTTTCCCTAACACGCTTGGTGACCTGGGGCGAGTCTTAGCATCTCTCGGCTTCCTTTTTTTCTTTTTTTTTCATGTGTGAAGTGAAGAGTTTGGACCAGATCAGTGGCTTGAAGCTTCTTTGGCTGGGACTCCCGGTTTTGTTTTCCGTGGGCAGCCAGAACACGCAGGTGCCTGCATCCACATAGCCACGTACAGATATGTACATGCATTGCCAAGACAAATGTTTCCCGAAGCCGCCCTTGTCCTTCTACTTAAAATGCACTCTGGTGCTCTCTCTTTCTCATCCAAAAGGTGGTCCTGACCCTACACTGACGCTAAGCTGATTTCACTACTCTCGGACCCGCTCAGGAGGTCACGAGGACAAGCGTCCGGGAAGCCTTCTGTCCCTGGGCAAAGATGCTCAGCCATTAAGAACAAGTAGAAAAAGACACCCAGCCAGTGTTCTTAAAGAAACAATTAGTCTTGGGGCGCCTGGGTGGCTCAGTCTTTAAGCATCTGCCTTTGGCTCAGGTCGTGATCCCAGGGTCCTGGTGGCTCAGTGTTTGCCTTTGGCTCAGGTCATGATTTCAGCGTCCTGGGATCGAGCCCCGCATCGGGCTCCCTGCTCAGCGGGAAGCCTGCTTCTCCCTCTCCACTCCCCCTGCTTGTGTTCCCTCTCTAGTTGTCTGTCTCTGTCAAATAAATAAAATAAAATCTTTTTTTTTTTTAAGATTTTATTTATTTATTCATGAGAGACAGAGAGAGAGAGAGAGGCAGAGGGAGAAGCAGACTTCCCGCGGAGCAGGGAGCCCGATGCGGGACTCGATCCCAGGACTCTGGGATCATGACCTGAGGCCGAAGGCAGACGCTTAACCATCTGAGTCACCCAGGCGCCCTAAAATAAAATCTTAAAAAGAAGAAAAAAAGAAACAATTAGTCTTTTAAAAGCACTTAAGATACAGGAGAACCCATGTGTCTCTACCTATAGGATTGCATGCCTGTGACAACGAGTAGCATTATGTTTCCAGAAAGTCATCTGGAATCTGGGGGACACATTTTGGTGTACTGGCAGGTTCTTGGGCCCTTCCCCAGACCACAGAACCTGGGGCTGGGGCCCAGGAATCCTGAATGTTGAAAAGACCCTCTGGGTAGCTCCCAGGCACATGGAAGTCTGGAAATCAACTCAATTCCTAGGAGGCCCTCGGAAAGCAACCCCCGAGTTACCGAGTCAACAGGCTGAGTTCACCCTCATCAACCCCCCCTGCCCCCGATCAGGAGCAGTTTTCCACAGCAGCTAAGTGATGTGGCTTCTCCGCCAGCATCTGACCTATATGGGAAAGGGACCTGCATGCTCTGGCAGTTCCCAAGTGTGTGTAGCACCTGCAGGCTGCCACCAGGTGGGGGTGTTTTCCTATGCAAGGCACTTCTAGGGGCTCGGAAAATAGGAGGCATTAACAACTCACATCAGGGGGAGGGGGGTGTTTGGTTGGTTTGCGCTCTATTAGCCTTTGAAGGTCATCCAGCAACAAAGGTATCCACTTCTCTCCCAGGCATCGGGCATTGAAGATTCTGTCATTCACCCAGGTAGTCAAAGGGGCACCCACCCCGCACCAGCTCCGACCAATGCTGTGGACACAGCAGGGCAAAGCCAGAGGGGCCTCTGCCCTTTCGGAGAGCGGGAGCTCACAGTCCCTTGTATTTGGTGGTCTAGAACTACAAACACTGAAGTCTCGGGGTCGCCAGAGAAAAAGATAATGTACCAAGAGCCTGGTGAGGAGGAAGAGAGAGAAGTCCTAGGACTCGTGTTGGGAGGTCCTGTGTTCAGGAAAGTTCACATGTGCTTCCCAAAGATGCTTTGGGGATAAGTGCAAGCCGAGGGGCCCTGGAAGACTGTCAGGCGGGCCAAAGGCAGAGTCGGGGGCTGCGGGAGGCTGAGTTGGGGGGCTCGAGAGTCGGGGGGTTCCGGGAGGCTGAGTAGGGGGTCTGGGAGGCTGAGTCAGGGGTTTGGGAGGCTGAGTCGGGGGGCTGTGGGAGGCAGAGTCGGGGGCTGCGGGAGGCTGAGTGAGTTGGGGGGCTGCAGAAGGCAGAGTCGGGGGGCTCTGGGAGGCTGAGTCGGGGGCTGCGGGGGGCTGAGTCTGAGAGCCCAAGTCAGCTGGGCTCTGGGCTGCTCATCTGGCTCTGACCGCAGCAGGTCCACACAGATCTGTAAAAGCTCTCCTTCAAAAGGGAGTGGAGTAGGGAAAAGAGAAAGCATACAAGAGAAGGAAAGAGCTTGAAAAACCAGCGCTTCTCTGGCTCTCGGAGTACGAGACCGGCTCCCTCGGGCCAGAGGGAAGGTGTACCTGCTTCTCCCGGCCTCAGCGGTTCCATGGCTTCCTCGGGCTTTGAGCCGTGAACCATCCTTGTAGCCTCGGGCACCTGGCCCATAGCAGATGTTCAGCGAATAGAACTGACCTGAGCCCATCTAATGAAATGGCAAGCCTGTGGCAGTCACTGTGCTCAGTGCTTGGGGACGTGGAGATGGTGGCTTGGTTTCTGCCCCCAGAAAAATCCCAGTTTGGGGAAAGTAAGCAATGTCCGCTTGGGACGTGAGCAAAGTCCTCTGAGCGGCTGCGGGTGCCCGGGGGAGGCAGGAGGGCAGCCGACGGATGGAGGGCTCGGAAAGGCTTGGGCACCAAGCCCTCAGTCCTTTGCTGTGAATCCTGGGGTCTAGCCAGCTAAGGTGACCCCCCCAGCCCGAGACCTGATGTGTGGCCCCTTGTGTCTTCCCTCCTGTCGGCTGGGCCAGGCCTCTGCCCCCGGCCCCATGCTCACCCGTGGAGTGGGGGGCAGTGTCCCTCCCTCCTCTCGCCACCGACGCCCCGGGATCCTGAGCGTGTCCCCCTCCCCCCCAACAGCTGCATAGCGAGGTGGAGAAGCCCCTGATGAACTTCCGAGAAAACTTCAAGAAGGACATGAAGAAGTGTGACCACCACATCGCGGACCTCCGCAAGCAGCTGGTCAGCCGCTACGCCGCGGTGGAGAAGGTGAGGGGCCCGGGAGGCTGGGCCTGCTGGCACGGGGTGGGCCAGGCCCCAGCAGGGTTCCAGTGCCAGGGCAGAGGCCTCTGTCCCCGTGTGGCGGCGTTGGGCTGGGGAAGGGGGGCGTGCCAGCCTCCAGCCCACACCAGAAGACCCCCGGCCCCCCAGCCCCCCGGCCCCGGCCCGGGCCCCGGCCCCCCAGCCCCCGGGCCCCGGCCCAAGGGCAGGTAGCAGCTGCTTCCCCAGGGCACTCGGGCACTGCTGGAGGGCCGGTGGGAGATAGAGTGGGGCCCCCTCAGGCGCAGGAGATGAGGTATACCACGCTTCTGTGGGTTCTGCTGGTCCACACGTGGCCCTTGATCCAGGCCCCACTGGGCAGATTCCCTCCTGACGGAGTCACCCCCTGCCAGAGGCCTGGGAGGTCCGACCTGGCTGGGAGCTGTTGCTGACCCCAGAGCCGTGGGGAGGGGTGCAGGACGGGGGGCGCGTAGAGCACCTGGCCCACTGCTGCCCCTCTGGCCCCGGAATGGGGTGGCTGGTGCCGCCGTCCGCTCAGCACTGCTAGGGAACGAGATCCACGAACACGGGGAGAAGAGAGGCCTCTTACCCAGCAAAGGGGAGGCCGGGCCACGTAACCCGCGGGGCCCTGCCGGCTCGGAGCCCCATGAGCAGCTTCCCTGTGTCGTTGGACCCCAGGCCCGGAAGGCCCTCACGGAACGGCAGAGAGACCTGGAGATGAAGACCCAGCAGCTGGAGATCAAGCTGAGCAACAAGACGGAGGAGGACATCAAGAAGGCGCGGAGGAAGTCCACGCAGGCTGGTGAGTGTGGCCATGGGCGCCCTGCCTCTCTCCTCCTCACCCGGGCCTGGGAGGCACAGAACGGGGAGGGCTGTGAGGTGGGGTGCCCGGGGAGGTGCATCCCAAGGACCAGGCTGGAGTGGGGGGCTGTGGTGCTGTGTCCAGGCCCTACTGGGGGGCGGGGGGGGGGGCGCTGCCCTGGACCTCGGGTCAGGAGGTGGACAAACTCCTCCACGTGCCCAGGACTCAGGGCTCTGTCCCTGCGAGGAGCCCGTAGGAGAAGTTCAGGCCCCACCTGCCGACCCAGCGGTGCCACCTCCCCAGCAAGTGCTGTTCCCAGGGCTGGCCTCTGGTGATCCGGGGCCCCTGCCCACCCACCCCCCCCAGAGTCCGACATTCTGTTCCGCGAAAGAATCAGATTTCAGATTCTCTCAAAGATTTCCTCCCGGTGAGTCGGTTTCTGCTTCCACCTTGTGGTGAAAATTAGCTGATGCACAAGGTGGGGGAGAAAGGCCTGTTAGAACCAGTACAAAAACAGTCCCTATTTCTTCAGAAGGTCCCAAGTTGAAGGGCACGCTATTTATTGCTTTCTGAGAAGGGATGAAAGCGTGTGCTCTCATTAGGCTTTGGATCAGGTGGTCTCCCGAGTCCTTCTCACCTGAATTTCTGGTGAACCTGGCACAGTTAAACTCGTTACAGAACAAAAGAGCCACCGTCTGGATGTTGACGATACAGTGGTGTAGAAATAGTCACAAAACACAAACACAACATTTGATTGAAAGATCTTATAATGCATGGTGATAACCAGATCCAGCAATAGAAGGCATAATACACTCACCCGGGGACTGGGAGGGCAAACCCAGGACGGGCAGAGCCTATTTATGTTAGTTCAATTTATTTATTTTAAAAATAAAGTTATATCGCTGCTTGGCAAAAAAAAAAAATTGTAACCAGCACGTAAGAATATAAAATTTGATTCACTAGATCATAATCGCCATCAACATTTCCTAGTGTTTGAATTCTTGAAAATGTTTCTTAATATTTAAATGTATACACATTAGATCATCTTCTATTTTATGTCCTGAATTTATATTTTTACTGCTAGATCTTCGAGATAGCTCTGATCTGTCACCTAGACGTTTATTTACCCATCTGTTGCCACGCGTAAGACTTTTTAAATGGTTGAATGGCGTCCACGTGTGCGATTGGACCCGAACTTATTTCACGATCCCCCTGATTGACTTTTTGTAGGACTTTGAGATTGTCGGTGGGTGTTCAGCGATGTGGTCACTGTAACTATGTGTATGTGAGGCTCAGTCCGCGGGAAGAGAGAACGTAGATGTGAGTTTCTGGGTCCAAGCGTTGTGTTGGTTTGGATAGCTGGTTCCAAACTGCTCTCCAGAGAGGCATGCCCACCAGGGGCACATAAGGATGCCCGTTCCCTAAACTCTGGTCAGCACTGCGTGAGATCAGACTTTGACATCCTAGCTGTCTGGTGAGAAACACTATTTTGTTGGCAATTTACGTTTCTTTTTTGAGTGAATTTGAGCTTTTTAAAAATAGACTTCTGTATGTCATCTGTGACTTCTTCCTGTGAACTGATGAACTCCTGTCCTCTCGCCTGGTTTCTCTTATTCTGATGGATTGATGAGCAAGGATTAATTATATGTCAGGAAAATTAACCTTCTGTGGTTTGAATTGCAAATATTTTTCCTAGGTTGCCGTTTATCATTTAACTTTTTTTTCTTTATATTTCTTTCTTTTCTCTCTCTCTGGCCTGTTTTCTTCTTGAGTTTTTTTGTAGAATCCTCTCTTCCCCTTACAAGTTCTGGGTTTTGTGACTGACTTAGAAAGACTTATCCTTTCTCGATATATATTTTTTAAATCCCTTTTTTCTTTGGCCCCAGGTTTAAGAAGTAAATACATACATATTCGACCCACCAGGTGTTTATTTGGACTCACACCACCGCTTTTTACCATGTTCCTCAAGTTCTGACTTTTTTTGTGTTTTCATTTCTCTCGTGTTCTAGATATTTTTCTATTCTGTTTCTTTCACATTCTAGATAATCTTGCTATTTGCAGTTTCTAGCCAATTTCAGCCAAACTCAGAAGAATGTTACATTTTCACCAGCTAGAGCTCTACCACCTTTGCTTTCTGGTCTTGCTGTTTGTGTCTCAGTTTGTTGCGTGGTCATCAGATAATATGGTCTCTTATCCCTACCGTTTGGAATTCTGTTGTGATGGAAGTGACTCATCCTTGTCCTTGGATCTAACCATGAAAAATTCTACCTTTCCGAAACCCTTTCGTGTGTCGGGCGCCCGGCCCCGTGCCTCAGAGCATCCACGTCCAAGCCCCCGGTCCTCCTGCAGGGGGGTATTTCTGTACCTTTCAGGGGTGAGGAAGCAGATGAATGACAGATGGTGACAGACAGGGGTCAGACAGTCCCGGAGCGCTGGGGCCCAGAATTCCGCTGTCTCTTCTTCCAAAGACACCGCTTGTCCCCATGTTGCTGGATGGCCCGTTACCCAGAAGATGCCCGCTCTTTTTCCCTCACTCTGTCCCTCCCTCCCCTTTCCTCCCTCATCTTTTCCAAAACCGCTAGAAGGGAGCGCCTCTGGATCCTCAGGGGGCTTGTTCGCATTTTGTCATCATTCCCGTCACCCTAGCTCGTGTTCCTGTTGTGCCAACTTTGCCGGCGTCCATTGCAAGCACCAGACACGTAGGGACTTACTTAATCTTCCCCATGACTCCCAAGAAGACACCGTTGCTCTCCTATTTTATAGGTGATGAGCCTGAGGCTCGCGCGGGCAGGTTAACTGACTTGTCCACGATCGCACAGCTACTAGACTGTGGAGCTGGTAGGACAGCCCAGATAATCTGGGTCCAGAACCCGCATCCTTAATTCGTTCTGTTCAGAAGGGTACCCTCGGGCTGGCTTCATGGAGAGAAGGCACCGTCTCCTTCAGTTACCCAATTTTCTGATGCGGCAGGAGATCCCAAAGCACGTTCTCAAGATTGGGCGATCAGGATCAACAAAGAGGGCTGTGGGAGCTTGAGTATCGTACGTTTGTAGGGTGACATGCTGACTGCCCCCCTCGTTGGTCAGGAACGGGCTCCTGGTGGGAATGTGTTTGCAGGGAAGTAGGTACTTTCTTCTCTCCAGGTCAGTCCTTCTTGGGGTCAGGGACCGATTCGCTGCTGATGGATCTAGAGCCCTTGATTGGGTTCTGTGCCTCAGGCTCATCTCCCGACTAGTGGTGTAGTTCAGTGGAGGGGGTTGCTGAGCTGGGCCCTGGGTCACGTGGACGTGAGTCTTCCCCGATTTCTTCATTTCCATTTCAAGGGATGTGGTTAGAGGAATGACTTGGGAGTCTGCTGGAATTACTAGGTTTACAGTGAATCGGTTAGCTTGGGGTCGGCTCATGAGTTTTTCCCGTCGAGAACGCAGACCAGGATTCCTTCCTGTCTCTGGAACCCTGTGGTGATCAGAAAACCAAGGTTCTGATGCGGGTACACTTCAGTAATGCTTGCAACTCTTGTACGGTTTGTTTCTTCCTAATTACAAAATGTTTCAAATGTCCCTGCCATTCCGGAAAATAACATACCAGGCATCATGATTGAAAAGTTAGGTTTGCTTCACATCTCTCTTTTGTGAAATTAAATGCTGTGGGAAGAGCTCCTGCCCTCCCACCCGTCCTCTGTTTCCCAAAGTGGCCACTGTCCCAGGCGATGTGTGTGTGAGTGGGCCACAAACCATCAGACATGTTATTTTGTGTTTCGGAATTACGTTCCAGCATGTGGACCCACACGTGCATGTGCAAACACACACAACTTGCAGGCTTCTCTTCTTTAACTCGTAACCACTTCTAGGTTGCTTATAACACATGTTTTAATGGAGAAGGACTCTCCACTGTCAAATGAAACTGCCATCATTAGAGAGGGAAGCATTTCTTGGGCTCATGGTAGGATTGGGGGGGTTCCTAGGAGCACCCCCCCACACACACACACACACTGAGAAACCCTCATCCTGACTTCTTGGTATCTGGGGTCAAGCTCAGATGGACGCTCATGATGTGGGGTTGCCCCCTTTCCTTCGCTCTGCTCCCACTCCCTCCGCTTCCCAGTGGCTTCCACGACCCAGGAAGAGGAGAGGGCATGGGGCACAGATGGGGCAGGGCAGCCATGGTGACGACAGGACAGAGTGTGATGGCGGCCGGTGGTCTTTTCCAGGAGATGACCTCATGCGCTGTGTGGACCTCTACAACCAAGCCCAGTCCAAGTGGTTTGAAGAGATGGTGACCACCACACTGGTGAGAGAGCTTGTCAACCCAGGGGCCAATGCTCAGGAAGCCCTTGGGGGGGATGCTGGCGGGCATGCGGGTGATGGCATGGAGTGGCCATAGAGGTGGTCATTAGATCCTCTCTACCGCTGAGGTCAAGACCTTGACTCTGGGCCGGTCTGTGTGGATTCAGATCCTGCTTTGGCACTTTGTAGCTGTGTGAACACAGGCAAGGGTTGGGTCCTACTCTATCCTCTTTGGCTGTCCCCTGAGGGGTCAGGGTCAAACAAGAATGCCCTCAGCCAGATGTATAGTGGAGCCTTTAGGACAGATAGCCAAGTTATAGGAAGGGTGGCCCTCCCCACCCCCCAGAAGGGTTGCCCATCGTAGATAGAGGACACATACGGAGTGAGGTTGGGGTAGCTGTTCAGAAGGAATGGGAGTGGAGGCCTCTGACCAAGGGATTCAGGGAATAGGCATCAGACCCCCCCCTTTTTTTGTCTTCCTGAGTATTTTCTTTAAGATTGATTTATTTTAGAGAGAGAGTACTGTGGGGAGGGGCAGAGGGAGAGAGCGAATCTCAGGCAGACTCCACGCTGAGTGCGGAGCCTGACGTGGGGCTCATTCCCGTGACCCTGAGATCCAGACTGGAGCCGAAACCAAGAGTCGGAACTGACTGTGCCCCCCGGGTGCCTCCTGAGTATCTTATGAAGGGACAACATCTCCTCAGTGAGCACCCGTTGGCTTGGACCGTGAAGTGTGCTTGACATTTGGACCATTGGGTTGGATGAGAAAGGAGGCCTGGTGCCAGGTCCTGACTGCATTGTCCCACTGCCCAAAGCTCCCCTCGTCCATCCGGCACAGGACAGACTAACTCTCTGCGTGCCCAGGTGTCAGCCCACCGGAGCAGATTAGAGGCCTCCCCCAGGGACAGTGACCTAGTCTTCCTCCTGGTTAATCTCCTAATTAAGCTCCCGCTTTACCCTTCTTCCCAGCTAATCACCTGGGCAGTGACCTAGTTGTGCACAGAATAGCAGCCTGATCCTCTAAATTCCAAAGATGCAGAACCATCTAGAAACCAAAGGACAAGCCCTTTCTCTTCCATTTATTTGACCATGGCCATCTGACTCCTACCCTTCCCCCCCACCCCCCACCCCGAGTCTCCTGGCCTGGTCTCTGTTCTGCACTTCAGCATTAGATGGACAGAGGAGAGGAGGCTGTTCGGCAGAGGCCCAGGGACAAAGCCCCAAGAGGCCTGAGGCACAGAATCTCGACATGTGACCCATGTGTCCACCCCGTCTCGGGAACTGGGGCCGGGGCTGCCCTGGGGCAGAATCCGGGCCCTGGTTTCAACCCCGCTCCTCCCCTAATGCTTTGGGCAAGTGATGTTACAGATAAGAACCTCTCTCTTTTTTTTTTTAAAGATTTTATTTATTTATTTGAGAGAGAGAATGAGAGAGAGAGAACACATGAGAGGGGATAGGGTCAGAGGACGAAGCAGACTCCCTGCCAAGCAGGGAGCCCGATGCGGGACTCGATCCCGGGACTCCAGGATCATGACCTGAGCCGAAGGCAGTCGCTTAACCGAGCCACCCAGGGGCCTGATAAGAACCTCTCTTAAAATGCCCCAGGACAGGGGCACCTGGGTGGCTCAGTCGTTAAGCGGTCTGCCTTCGGCTCAGGTCATGATCCCAGGGTCCTGGGATCGAGCCCCACATCGGGCTCCCTGCTCTGCGGGAAGCCTGCTTCTCCCTCTCCCACTCCCCCTGCTTGTGTTCCCTCTCTCGCTGTGTCTCTGTCAAATAAATAAATAAAAATCTTTAAAAAAAAAAAAAATGCCCCAGGACAATTAAATAACACGTGCAAAGCTCTCGGCACCCACTGCACCCGTCGGGCAGAGCAGGACTCAGGAGACACCAGCTACTGAGTCCTCCCCTCCCCCCACCCCCATGCTGGGCGAGTTCAGCCCCTGGGGGTCTGCGGGGGGCCCGTGCCAAGCAGGCGGTGACGCGTGTCTTGTGGGTCGGGGGGGCGGGGCTGGGACGTGCGTGGCGGGAGGGTCCCCGGGTCGGGGCACACGCTCAGGGATGTCCCCCCCCCCCGCCAGGAGCTGGAGCGGCTGGAGGTGGAGAGGGTGGAGATGATCCGGCAACATCTGTGTCAATATACGCAGCTTCGGCACGAGACAGACATGTTCAACCAAAGTGTGAGTCGCCCGCCCTGGGCCGCGGACCCCTGCGGGGGGGGCGGGGGGGGACCCGGGCCAGAGGAGAGCCACCTGGCGCTGGGCGCTGGCAGGTGCCTGGGCCCGGGAGCCCCGTCTTGGGATGGGCTCGCGGACCTCCCCTGGACGTCCTCGTGAATCCCTCCCAGGCGACAGGGACACGCGTGAGCCGTCAGCCCGAGGAGAAAGCAGGTCAGGACAGTTTAAAATAGCTGAGGCTTTACCGCCTCCCGTGGCAGATTTCTTACCAAAAAATAAAGAATCCGGAAAAATTCAAACCCCCTGAAGCGAATGTTCCGTTGGCCCTGTTCTGGGATGGTAAAGGTGGGGACGGATGGAGGAGGAGGCCCCGGATCTGGAGCTGGGCCGCCCTGCCCTGTCGTGCAGGCCTGTGGGCTGGGGGCAGAGGGCACTGAGCGGGACGCAGAGTGGGGCCAAGAGCCCCGGGCTCCCCGCCCTTGCGACGCTGCGCACGGCCGTCCCTCACGGGGGCCTCTGTTGTCCCTGGTGCAGCCACCAGCTCTGACTGCGTCCCCTTCTCCGTCCCTTGCAGACAGTCGAGCCCGTGGACCAACTGCTTCGAAAAGTGGACCCGGCCAAAGACAGGGAGCTGTGGGTCAGAGAGCACAAGACGGGCAACATCCGCCCCGTGGACATGGAGATTTAGACGGGCACACACGGCCCCGGGGGTCCTGCGGAGGCGAGGGGCTGGGGGTCCCGTGGAGAGGAGGTGGCCGTGCCCGCCACGGGGCCCGCTGCCGAGTTCAGCTGCCCTCCCACCCCCTGTCTTGGGCCTGGTCCACTGAGCTGGGGCGATTCCAGAAGGGCGGCCCTGCCGGGAGCTGCCGGTGTGCCCGGGCCAAGAAGACGGATCCACAGCCCTACCCTTGTCTCCGAGGCCGAAGCCCCCCCCCCCCCGCCCCCCCAACTCCTGCACCGTGCTTGCAGCTCCAAGGACAAACTGAGGCTGGAGCTTTGTGGTCCCTGCTAAGAACCGGAGGGGTCCCCTCCCCACCCAGAACCACCTGTCCTATACTTAGGCCCCTGGAAGCCCCAGGGCCCTTTGTCTAGCTGGCCCCCTGTGTCCCGGGCTTTGGAGGGTCACGGGAGAAAGGTCCCTGTCTCCAGCCACGTATCAGGATCAGAATCGTGGATCGAAGGCACCGTTCAGCTCCCAACAGCCCGCACCCAGAATTCTTTGCAGACCACCCTCTTTATTGTTTTCCCGTTGCATTCTGGGAGCCCGCATCCTGGCTCTTCTTGGCCCCCTTTCCACCGTCTGGGGTCTTGGGAATAAGGCCTGGCTCCTCTCTACCCAGACTGATCCTGCCTGGAGAGGTCAGGATGGAACTACCTCATTCAGCACATCAGCCCCAAGTCAGAGTGTTGAGTCGCGTTTCATATTAGGTCAGGCATCTTCTGTAGAGTCTCCGGGCTGGAAACCCCAATCCATCCAACCCTCAGCTGCTTCCTCAGGGAAGCTCCCTCCGGCCCCCCTCGCCGCCCCCTTCCCAGGCTCTTCGCTGGGCTGGCTTAGTCCCCTGTGGGAGGGGGGTTGGGATGGGTCTTTGTCCCCACCCCCCTACCCCCCGCCCCTGCAGAGGGCTCCGCCTGCTAGTGCATGGTGGGCGTGGGACCCCATGTGACTTTTCTCTCCCTAGTGGGCACTGCACAGGCATGGTAGACTCTTATGGTCACAGCGGGGTGTCCCATCCTGAGCATGACGTGGGAAGCATTCAGCACACCGCTCATCAGTCCCTCCCTCTCTAGAAACACAGCAAACCCGTTCTCCACCATGTCAGACCCTGAGAATCCGCACCAGGGGACCGGAAGACGAAATGACACCCCTCGCTCCCCTAACGTGATTACGCGGCCAGCAGGGGGCAGATTCTAGCCCAGAACCCACGCCCTGAGAACCCACGCCCCGAGAACCCATCCTTCTTAGCTCATCTTTCAAACCCTTGATTACTTTCAACGTGCAGGACCCACATGCGCCCTACAAGGGCAGGATCCTAAGAGCACAACTCCCCGGTCCCTCGGTCTTCATGCTGGGAATTGAGGACTTACTCATCTTGAGTCTTTTGGCACCTCTTTCGCTGGGTCAGAATTAGGTGCTCACAGTTTAGAATAGAAAGATGCCCAATGTCCTAAAGTAAGCCACACTCTGTCACTTGTCCTATTGAACCATCTCAACCAAAAAGGTCAGCGCGGAGGATGGATCTGTCCCTGGCAGGGAGGACCGCTGCTTCCGGATCGGGGGTTGGGCAGGGACACCAGCGACCGATTTTAGGATATTATGTCTTGGTTTCTCTATGAAAAATGGGTGTTGGTAGTAATTGCCTTGTGGCTTTAGTGGACTAATTTGTGGTTGATTTTCAAATGTTCAAAGCCAATAGCCTTGTTACTAACACAGATATTTTGAGTGTGATACGGCTCATTGGTTTTTGTTTTCTCCCTCCCTTCTGAGGGTTCCTGAGTCTTCCGGTCCTCCCTGGGACAGGGGGTGGGGGGCTCTCTTGCCTCGTCCCGGGGAGCCCGAGTTGGCCCAGTGTGGGTTTTCTGAAGTCATTCTTCCCCCTCCCCCCACCCCCACTCCTCAGCTCACTCTCATTAGCCTCTTCACATTCTTTTCTTTTTTCTCTATGCTCCTTCATTCATCAAAGAGCTTAGTCAGCAATGTGCTAAGTTCTGGGGACAAGAGAGGGCAGGGGAAAGACCACCGTCTCTTCTTCTGCGTAGACTTACGTTTTCTCCAGGGTCTCGCAGGTCCTTAACCTTGGCCTTCACATACAAGCACTCTTTGCAGAGTTGTGGTTTCCAGAGATACTCTCTGTCATGCTGGTACATCTGCATTCATTCATTCGTTCACTGAGCAGACCCTTGGGACGAGCCAGGCATCGTGCAGGGCACCAGAAATACAACCACATGCAAGACACGCGCTCTTCCCCGGTCTCCTCTGTTCTCCATGTAGACAAGAGGCTCTAAACCTCTCTGGAGAATGAGAGCATGGCACCTCTTCCACATTTAACCGACTCGGAGCCTAACGTGAACATGTCATCCTAACATGAACCACTGCCGTGTAGTAGTTCCCCGCTGGGTGGAAGGTGGTCAGCAACAAGGGTATATAATCACCTGGTCCTCAGCGCATGCAGCCCGGATGCAAGTCGGACCACAGAGATTTCTCTCATTTCTTTTAAATAACTCTCCTCACTTGACAGAGAAGAAGAATGAAGCCCAAGGATGGCCAGTGAGCCCAGGGAGTGAGGATCGGGGTCTGTTAACAGGGCTTCCGCCCTGGGTGAACTAAGATGAGGCTGAAGTCTAGAACATCCCAAAGTGCCCTTCGGAATAGCGCTCTATCCGGTTGTTGCTGTTTTATTTTATTCTTGTAAATTCGGCGTTGAGGTTATAAGAGTGTACAGCGGGGCTTATTCAGAGAGTGTCTAGGATGTTCCTGGGCACATCTGTTGTTCTCTAAGAACAAGTGAGCCCCTTCTACCTGGCCTTCTACAAGACATGGATGCACTTAGTTTTGTCTATGAAAACCTGATTTTTTGGGGGGAAAAAAATCTCTAAGATAAATGGTGTTCAAAATGAGTTGGTTGTCACAGCAACCTCCAGGAACAGCCACTATTCCTTCCTTCTGTCGTTTTGGATCAGTATTGCAAAGCCTTGGCCAACCGGACCACAGGGCCAGCTCCCCGTGGGACCACCTTGGGCCTTCTTTCTACGCGCCCCCCCGCCCCACCCAGCGCCTGTCGGGCCGGGAGGATTTCTGTACCAGGAGGCGCTTCTCTCTGGGGCTGGTTAATGACCAAGGCGAACAGAAACAGTGTCCACACTCACAGACCGGGGGGAGAAGGGGGGTGTTTCTCTTCCCTTTGTGAAAACCAATCAATTACTAGATTAGTGGATGGCTACCTAAGAATCTTGGCGAAGCCAAAGTCCCTTCTTGGAAACACTAGCCATAAACTTCAAAGGACATCAAAGACTTTGGCTTGTTGAAGTGATTTGACTTCCAGCCGCGAGTGACCTTGAAAGGGAGAGTTTAAACAGGATTCTGCAGACCCACTGGTGGTTATGTAGGTAGGGAAAGCACTTCAGGCGTGTTAAGTGGGGTACAGATCAGCGTATTCCCCGAATCCTCCGACCCCTCCCAGACCTACCGCCTTTTTTTTTTTTTTTTTTTTTTTTTAAAGATTTGTTGAGGTGTTTGACATACCTACGGGGGTTTATTGACCTACAGTGAAATGCACCCTTTTGAAGGATAGGGTTCTGTGAATTTTGACAAACCTACAGTCTTAAAACCACCATCAAAATCATCATCCTATTTCTATCACTCCTGAAAATTCCCTCCAGCTCCTTTAGAGCCGATCACCCACACCTGCTCCCCATCCCGCCCCCTGGCGACCGCCGATGGATCATCGGACCCTATGATGTTGCCTTTTTCTAGAATGTCCTATAAAAGGAGTCACTGATGTAGCCATCGAGTACGACTGCTTTCCCAAGGCTTCATGCTTGGGGTCACCCACGTCGTGTGTGTCCCTAGCTCGTCCCCATGTCTCGTGGAATCCCGCTCTGTTGCATGGGTGAACCACGTGCTTCCTCGCTCATGAAATGCGTTGTTTGTCCTGGAGGCTCCTGGCCCAGGGTCCTCAGCTTGTTTGCACGGCCGCTTCCTGTGCCTCCCGAGGCTCCCCCAAATGCCAGCCTTGCCCACAGTAGTTCTTGGGGCTCACACTTGCCCTTGTGGTTCATTTCAGGTTTTTGTGCAAAAAAGGGCCGGGGATTGGGGGAGGGGTGCCTCCCACTTCCGCTGCACCCTGAAGCTTGCACCTCGGCTGGTAGATCCACACACTCCTGGGGGGGCCCTCGCTTGAGCTCACACAGCCTTTGGCTTCTGAGCATGAGGGGGCATGGAAGGCGAACGAATGAATTGCAGGTGAAGACGCAGGGGGTGACCTTGGGCTGGCCATGACCTTTCCCTGGGTCTCTGTTGCTCCATCTGTAGGCTGCAGGTGTACCTTCTGGTCTCCCCAGGCTCCTCTAGCTACTGCACTCCCTCCGCCCCTTCCCGTTTTTCGGGGTCTGTACCGACACCATCACGCTTGACCTGGGCCCCATCAGCGCGGGTTGTGCGTGGTGGTGTCTGAAATCCTCCTGAGAGGGATACCCTGGCACTTCTCTTACTTAGACACGAATGGAGCTAAAATGAAGAGTTTCCCAAGCTGTTGAGAATGAGGTAGTTCCTCCTAGGGCCCTGAAGGGAGCACTCATACGTCATTACCTTTGGGGGTCTCGCCCCCTGATCTTTGATCTCATGTCCTGAGGTCTATTTCCAAGGAGCCAGGCAGGCATGATGGAGACAGCCTCTTCCCGTGAGCTGCTTGGCATTGCTGGAGGCTCGCTCAGCTGGTGGTCACACCAAGCCAAGCCTGTGTCTGCAGCCCACTGGGCGGGGGGGGGGGCGGCAGATGGTGGCAGAGATGGGACCAAACCCAGCCAGCGCCGGGCAGGCTAGGGCATGACCCCCAAGGTGATGACTCCCCCAAGCCGTGTCTCGATGGTGCCTGCTCGAGGAGCTGTGAACCCTTGGAGGCAACCAGGCAGCCCTCTGAGCAAACGGAAGATGTTCCTGGGGCCAGGCCAGGGGGCAGGGCATGGGCCGTGGAGCTCAAGTCTGCAGGATCCCATTCTTCTTGGGCGCATCCGGGTTGTTTTGCCAGGCAGGACTCTTGGCATCCCGCCCCCACGGGAGTATGACTTCTGTCTGGCCTTTCCTGAAAGTGGAGGACCCGCTGCGGTTGAGTGGGTCTGGGTGAGAATAAGGCAGGTGACAGGAATCAATGTTTTGTTCTCTAACCTTCTGATGGCGGGGCGTGGAAAGGAGCCTTTGTTGGGAAGTGTCTCTGAGGGAGCTGGGTTGGTGATGAGCTTTGGGTCTCTCCCTGTCTGCTGTTCAGGGGACACTGACCCCTTGTGTTGGAGGGACATTTCTAACAGGATTGCAGTGGTGGAGGGCAAAGGGTCTGGGCACATGGGTGCCGTCATGGGGATGGAGAGGGAAAGCGTTCGGTGCCAGGGCAGGAGCAGTGGACTGGCCCCACTCCGCCGCCTCGTGTGTCCTGTAACCCGAAGTGAAGTCACATCCCCTGCCGGGACCTCCGTACTCCCTCGTTTGTCAAGTGAGCGGAGACACATCCTTTCCAGCAGCATCACAAGCAGCAAACTGGCTCTTGGGAGCTGTGGCCTCCAGGCAGCCGTGTGGACCCAGGAACAGACATTCAAAGGGACACCAGCCATCCCTTGGTGACAGGGGTCCCAAACTTGCATATCTTCCCTTCCCTGGGGACGGAGATCATGGTGGGGGTGGGGATGGGGGGGTGGGGTACAGCCCTTTCACAGATGAGCACATCAGCAAACCCTATGACAGTGGGATTTTCTAACAGAATAAACTTGCTTATTTGGTCTGTTTTCTGTAACTTTTGCTAAATACTTTATACATTTTTAATGTTAAAAAAAAAGCTGTGTCTCCTGCCAGCATTCTTCATCCCGGTATGAATGTGTTTACGCCGCATTGTATATCCTTCCATCCTCTGGCTGCCTAGATCAGTAAATAAAATTGATGTACTATAATTTATAAGTAACACTGTTGAAACTCTGATCCCTATGGAGGCTGTAACCTGCCCTTCCCCGCCCCTGTCCCCCCGTAATAGCATTTGTGTGTATTAATGCTAAAGAATTAAATGTTTAAAGGGTTTAAATTTTGAAGGCGTTTGCTATATATAATTGTTCTGCATTATTATAAAGCATTTTTAGGAAGTGAAATGCTCTCTCATCCTCTTCCCCCCCCCCCCCACTTTGGCTCTCTGTGTATACTTAGATGCTTAGATTCATCCCATGTAAAATAAACTGTCCAGAGACACTGGGTCCTGCTGGATGACCCTCCTTCCTGGAGGGTCTGTCACCCTCTCCTTTGTATAAATGGTCTCAGCAGTCCTTCCAGGCTCCCAAGGTTGGCGATAATCTTGTGCCTGATGTCTTAGCAGAGGGCACCTGGGTGAGGACCCTCCCACACAGATGGTCACTGTGCTGCTGGACCCACGCACCTGGCCCTTCTCTGCCCCCTCCCCTGGCGACTTCTGTCCCTGTGGACAGAAGGGGTTCCTGGCTGTTATTTTTTTCCCCATCCATCCATCCATCCATCCATCCATTTATCCGTTCATTCATGCAATAATTATGGAGCACCTACTATATGCCAGACACCACTTTAGGTAGTGGGAACACATCGGTGAGTGGAACAGATGAAGAGCCCCACTTACCTGGAGCTGGCTTTCTAGCAGGGAGAGAGACAACAACAGTCCGTAGAATAACTAATCCCATGTAGGTGCAGAAGGTGTGAAATGTTAGGGAGAACGAAGGACCGGGCAGGGTGTGAGGATGGGTCGTTTCAGGGTTGACCCCGGGGTAAATTGCAATATTAAATAGGGCGGGTGGGGGCAGCCTGTTTGGGAAGGTGACATTAAATCAAAGGCAAGGAGACTGCGGGTGGGGGGTGGGGGGAGCCCAGGAGGTAGCTGGGGGAAGAATGTTCCAGGCAGGAGATGGCCTGGTTATAGGCGGTGGGGGTGGGGGAGGGATGCCTGCTGGGTTGGGGCCAACGTGGCTGGAACAGAGAGGGATGGTGGGCGGGGGCAGCGGACGCTTGAAGGACTTTCATGCTCGAGGGTCCGAGCCAAGGAGCGTGAGGCCCGACTTCATGGCTGTAGGGCTGGCTACAGGACTGTTGGGAACAGGGGCAAAAGGCTGGCAAAGAAGCTGGACCGGGAGGGGACGATGGTGCCTGCAGGATGTGGTCACGGTCACGGGGGAATTGGTGGGGAGGGGTCAGGGAAGGTGGCTCCCATGCGATTCTTGACAGATTGGGATGGGGTGTGACAGAGGGGCGCTGAGGATGACCTCAGGGGTTTCGGTCCAAGCCACCAAAAGGATGGACTGCCATTTCTTGCAATGGGAGGGCCGTGGGAGGAGCGTGCCTTCCCATTCCCCGCCACCCGCCCACCCTCTCTGCACCCCCTTTCCCGGCTCAGTGCAGAGTGGGGGGCAGCTTCTGGTTCCAGGCCACGGGAGGAAGGGCCATCTTGTCCTTCAGCCCAGAGCAGGGGAAGGTAGGGGAGTCGGGGTGAGTGCTGGGGGCTCCTGGCTTGGGATGGGTGCGACAGGGCCAGCCTCGGAAGAGAGCGCATCTCTCCGCAGCCAGGCCAGGATGGGGAGTCACAAACTGAGGTCCTCTGATTGGAGGACGGGCCTTCTCCCCAGCAGTCTTTGGGGTTTGAGGAGAGTTTATGGCCCCAGCTCAGACTTAACAAATCCATTCACAATACATCATCTCCAACAACTTGTTTGGTTAAGGAGCATAAGCATAAACTCTCCCTCTGATAGAAGATGTTTATGCAGGTTTTCAAACAAACCCCCAGGTCATGACCCTCTCTCAGCAGCATCAACACAGATGTCTGTGGTCCCATCCCGCGGCCCGGCCCCTCCTGGGCACAGCGGCCTGAGGAATGCAGGCCTCAAGTACCAGGCTGCTTCCCACCTGGGTCTGGCTCCTTCCTCCTCTCCCTCGGCCAGGGCAGAAGGGCCTGGGGGCCTCTGGCTTCCTCCTGCATTAACCCAGGATGCATCCCCTGTCTCCTTGCCCCCCTGGCTCTTCCAAGGTCACGGCGAACCCAGCCCCTCACCGACAGCCCGGTCGCTCAGGCCGCCTTGGGAAAGCAGTCGTTGTAATGTAATGAAAAGACCCCGAAGGGGGAGCCTGGCCACCCAGAGCTTTCCTTCTGGCTTTGCTGTTTAGCAGCCATTATGACCCCGGCAGGCTGCATGCCTTTTAGGGCTCCGTGCCTGTAACATTGGCCTCCCCTGATCTGCAGGCTCAGTGTGGACAGGCTTGGCACCAAGAGTCACTTCTTTTTTTTTTTTTTTTAAGATTATTTATTTATTTAGAGCTTGCAGTGGGGGAGGGGCAGAGAGAGAGAATCTCCAGCAGACTCCACACTGTATGCGGAGCCTGATGCAGGGCTCAATCCCCCGACCCTGAAATCATGACCTGAGCCAAAACCAAGAGTTGGATGCTTAACCGACTGAACCACCCAGGAGCCCTGCCAGGAAGCACTTCTAATTATCTCCCAAACCTGGTTTGGAGACAAGGGGTGAAGCCTCTGGCCTCACTTTCATGGGCTGGGGTGGGTTGGTTGGTTGGTTGGTTGATTTCTGAGTGTGGTGACTGTTCTATTTCCAACTGCTCTTGAGAACAAACACCTTGCTCCAGGATAGTGAAAGTCTAGGGAAAAAAGAAAGGTCTTCTATTAAGAAATAATACGCTCTCACAAACTGATGGGAAAAAATAGTAAGTACACACACACACACACACACACACACTCCCTTACCATTAAGGCCTCCTGAGAAATACTCTGGAACCACAGGGGTCAGGACTGAAAAATCTAGAACCACTGGGCGATAATCCCGAATGACCACATTTAAATGGCATTGAACATGGGCAGCCCCTTCCAGTGGGTGGCACTGGCCTCACCACTCCCAGTTGTCCCCGATTCACCTGCTTTGCTCACTCTCTCCACCTGCTGGCCCCTGCGGGCAGTTTAGGTTTTGATTTCTGTCCAAGATGAGTAATACCAAAAACTAACATGTATTTAACACTGACTGTGTGCCTGGCTCTGTTCTAAGTGCGTTGCACATATTTACTCAGTTTAGCCTCAAAATAACAATGAGGTAGACACTATTATTATGCCCGTTCACTCAAGGAATATTCACTGAGGGCCCCAACCTGCCGGGCACCCAGTCGGCAATGGAGATGCGACTGGGAACAAAACAGACAGAATGCCTGCCTTCTCGGAGCTTTTGTCCTGATGTGGACCCACACAGCACACGGGGTAATTCAAAGTGAGTCAGAAGGCGTACCTACAAGGAAGAAAAATAAAGCAGGCCTTGGGGTGTGCGGATGGTTGGGGGCAGGGGTGTGCTCTTGTAAACAGAGAGGTCAGTCCAGGCCTTGCCAAGGAAGGTGAAGGATTAGAAGAACATCCTAGGCAGAGAGAGGTTAAGAAACACACCTAGGGTCACGCAGCCAGTAGGCTGCAAAGCTGGGATTTAAACGTGGGCTGGCTCCGGAGCCTGGCTTTTAACGACTGCAGTGTAGAGCTCAATGCAAAACGCCACTCCTGCCCTGGGGACCCTTAGAGTTTGGGGGGAAGACAGGCCATGAGCGTCATGGTTCCTGGAGAGCTGGAGTAGGGGAGGAGGAGGGAGGGACAAGGGGCCGCAGTGAAGGCCAAGGATTTGGCTCTGCTTCTGACCTCCTGTCCTGTCCTCCCAGAAGGCCAAGATGGATTGGCCACCTGCTGTCAGCTTTTTCTTTTAATCTCAGGGTGGGGGTGGGGGGTATCTGGGAGCCTGGCCCCCCACCCCCATCCCGGCCCCTCCTCCCTCCAAGGACTGGGGTGAACCGGCCACAAATCCTCTAATCCACCAGGACCTCCGAGTCCGCGTCCAGCAGCAGTGCCCGGCCCTCGGCGGCCAGGACAGCGTGTCGCTCGCACCCGCCGGTCCAGCCGCCGCCGCCCGGCCAGGCACACGCGACCTCACCCATGGGGAACAGCAAGAGCGGGGCCCTGTCCAAGGAGATCCTGGAGGACCTGCAGCTGAACACCAAGTTCACGGAGGAGACGCTCTGCTCCTGGTACCAGTCATTCCTGAAGGAGTGCCCCAGCGGCCGCATCACGCGGCAGGAGTTCCAGAGCATCTACGCCAAGTTCTTCCCCGAGGCCGACCCCAAGGCCTACGCCCAGCATGTGTTCCGCAGCTTCGACGCCAACAGCGACGGCTCGCTGGACTTCAAGGAGTATGTCATCGCCCTGCACATGACCTCGGAGGGCAGGACCAACCAGAAGCTGGAGTGGGCCTTCTCCCTCTACGACGTGGACGGCAACGGGACCATCAGCAAGAACGAAGTGCTGGAGATCGTCACGGTCAGTCTCGGCCGGCCTCCCCGTGGTGGGCCTGGGCTCACCTGGGGTCCGGGGTCCTACGGCGGCTTCTCCTGCTGCCGCCGCAGCCGCCAGGGGTTCAGGGGGACACAGCGGGGGCAGGGCTGGCTGGGCCGAGCTGGGGGTCCAGGCGAGAGCATGGGAGGAGGGGTCTCCAGGACACTGACTTTAATAGAGGCTGGCCGCTTCCCCGCAGCTTCGTCTTCCTCCTGAAGAAGAATCTGGGTATTTCCTGTTAATTACATGTTGTTTCCTTCCTTCCTTCCTTCCTTCCTTCCTTCCTTCCTTCCTTCCTTCCTTCCTTCCTTCTCTCCTTTCATCCTTCCTTCTCTCCTTCCTTCCTTCCTTCTCTTCTTCCTTCCTTCTCTCCTTCCTTCTTTCTCTCCTTCCATCCTTCCTTCTCTCCTTCCTTCCTTCCTTCTTTCCTTCCTTCCTTCCTTCCTTCCATCCTTCCTTCTCTCCTTCCTTCCTTCCTTCTCTCCTTCCTTCCTTCCTTCTCTTCTTCCTTCCTTCTCTCCTTCCTTCTTTCTCTCCTTCCTTCCTTCCTTCCTTCTCTCCTTCCATCCTTCCTTCTCTCCTTCCTTCCTTCTCTTCTTCCTTCCTTCTCTCCTTCCTTCTTTCTCTCCTTCCTTCCTTCCTTCTCTCCTTTCATCCTTCCTTCTCTCCTTCCTTCCTTCCTTCTCTTCTTCCTTCCTTCTTTCCTTCCTTCCTTCCATCCTTCCTTCTCTCCTTCCTTCCTTCCTTCTCTCCTTCCTTCCTTCCTTCTCTTCTTCCTTCCTTCTCTCCTTCCTTCTTTCTCTCCTTCCTTCCTTCCTTCCTTCTCTCCTTCCATCCTTCCTTCTCTCCTTCCTTCCTTCTCTTCTTCCTTCCTTCTCTCCTTCCTTCTTTCTCTCCTTCCTTCCTTCCTTCCTTCTCTCCTTCCATCCTTCCTTCTCTCCTTCCTTCTTTCCTTCCTTCCTTCCTTCCTTCCTTCTCTCCTTCCATCCTTCCTTCTCTCCTTCCTTCCTTCCTTCTCTTCTTCCTTCCTTCTCTCCTTCCTTCCTTCCTTCTCTCCTTCCATCCTTCTTTCCTTCCTTCTCTTCTTCCTTCCTTCTCTCCTTCCTTCCTTCTCTCCTTCCTTCTTTCCACCCTTCCCTCCCTCCTTCCTTCTCTCCTTCCTTCCCTCCTTCCCTTTCCTTCCCTTCCTTTTCCTTCCTTCCTCCTTCCCTCCTTCCTTCCTTCCTATCTTCATTAAAGTGTCCTTCCAAACCTTCCACGGCGCATATTCAGATTCTTCCACAATTAGTTTTAAGTATGTAACACGTTCCGAATACAAAGTAGAAAAAGGCCAGCTTTGAGGGACATGAAATGTGGGTTCCAGTCCTCATGGTCTTCATCGCCTGAAGCAGGGTCACTTCACCCCGGGGCAGCTGGGGGCTCGGCTTTCTCACCCGTCCTGTGCTCTGGACTGAGTCGCCGGCCCCTCGCTAGCTTGCACTTCCAAACCACGCTCTCCTCCCTGCCCACATGGGCCCCGCATCAGATCATTTGTTGTGAAGATTTTAGGTGTCTCCGGAATAGTTTTATTTATTAGGTAAGGAATTTGTGAAATGTGGAAGCATATGCCAAAGACAATTGAAATTGCCTTTAATTCCATCATCCGGAGGGAGCTACTGTCAGTATATTGGTGTATACCTTCCCGACCCTTTATCTGTATATGTATATTTAAAAATAATTTTGGAACAGTGACATATCAGACCTTTTTTCAGTTACCATTTTGTCATGTTTTCCCTATCAAGGTATCTTCTTCAAAACCATTTTGTACAGCTGCTTAGAATTCCGTCTTACAGAAAGACCTTAACATTATTTAACCAGCCCTATAGTTTTGGACAATTGGGATGTTTCTATTTTTTTCTTCTGATGTCCTTTATATTGCCCTTCACTTGGTATCTTTTTCTGGCATTTTTGAACCCCCCACCCATGTCCTTGTTTTATTCCCCTAATTTTTTCCTGGTAAGAGGGAGAATGTCTTTTGTATTTTATCTCATCTTTTGGTACATTTGTCATCCTGCTTGTGTTTGCACGGTTCTCCCCCGGATTAGGAGAGACCATAAACCAAGTGGCCGAGCAGGCAGCCTGTGGGCAGTGGACTCGGCCCGGGTCTCCAGTTAAGGGCGGGAAGTCACTGGCATCTGGGCACGCTCCCCTGGATTGGCAGGTGGCCTGGGACAGGGAGCAGGACCTCAGAACCACCTACAGGATGCAAGGCCCTGCAGTGGCCTCCAAGCTGGTGCTCCTTGAGGAAAAGGAAGAGGGAGGGGAAGGGGAGGGAGGGGGAGGATCTATAGGACCCACGGCTGAGGCAGTGAAAGGTGATGCCAAGGCTCTGCAGTTCACTAGATCACATGGTCACTGCCCCTGGGGTCCGAAGTTATAGGTTCTAATCCCAGCGCTGTCACCAACTAGCTACATGGCCTTGGAAAAACCTCTGGGGCCCAGGGGAAGGACCGATGGCTCCGACAGTCTGTCCTTGGAGTTAGAAGCCGGGCAGGGCAGGCAGGCACTCCCAGGGTTTAGCTCTCCGGCCTGCACGTGGTTCCCCTGGCTCAGGACCCAACCAGGGGTGTTAAGGGGGCGACCCCCCTACACTTGGGTTGCTGGGCACCCCCGGGCTCTGAGTGCTGCCAGCCAAGCCTGCTCCCTGGAGCTTCTGGGTTTGCTTCTCTTGCTGTAGCACGAGGGGGGAGTGTGCTAATTTCACAGGCATTACCGCCCCTGCCTGAGTGTCTGCAAGGTGCCCCCTAACTCCCACGCAACTCACCTGCCTGCACCCCGAGCTTGCCCCAACGCTGAGCGTGCAGGCAGGCAAGGGCTCGGGACCACCATCGGAGTGTCCACTCTGGCCTGGCCAGGCCTGGAGTTACTGAGCTGGTGGGGTCCTCGTAACCTGGAGCTGGGAGGGCACACGGAGACCCCACCTTGTCCCTCTCCCTACCCCAGCCCCTAGGATGCCCTCCAAGCAGTGCAGTGTGAGGATGAAGGTTCTAGAACCAAACCGCCTGGGTTAGAATCTCTGCTTCTCTGCTTCTAGTCCAGGAGACTTCTAGCAAGCTGGTGCACCTCAGTTTCTTCATCTGTAAAATGGGGCCAACAATACCCACGTCATAAGGTTGCCGTGGAGGTTGCAGGTACAAATGCTTAGAAGTGTGGCGTACGTTAAGAGTTTGACAAAGGTTAGCCGTTATTACCGTCGGCGGACCCGGCTGGGCAACCAAGGTACCACATGGACCCCGAAGAAGCCGGTTGATATTCTACGATTTCAGGGCTATAGTGTTCAGGTAGCGGTTCCCAAACTGCCACCTTGAGGGCTGCTGTGGGATCATCATCAGAAAGCTTTTTGTTTCTTATTCTCATTTTTTTAATAAAATGAAAGTATTGTGTCTACATGGTCAGGAAATCCAAAAATTCAAATGCAGAAAGGGCCTGAAAGCCGCCTTTACCCCTCCACCCCGTTCCCTGTCCCTTCTGAAGATCTCAAAAATACAGATACTCCGACCCCACTCCCCCGCACTTTGGTTCAGCGGGGCAGGCTGGGGCCTGGGCATCTGCATTTTAACCTCTGCCACGGGGGACGCCTGGGCCCGGAGGTCGTCAGCCCCTGCTGCTCCTTCTGATGAGAACTTCCTCTTTATTTGGTGCAGGCTATTTTCAAAATGATCAGTCCTGAGGACGTGAAGCACCTTCCAGAAGATGAAAACACGCCAGAGAAGCGAGCCGAGAAGATCTGGGGGTTCTTTGGAAAGAAGGATGATGGTGAATTCCTTCCCCTTTCGTAGTGTTTGGTTTTATAGTCACGGGCTGTTTCCCAGAGAGCCCCGATGAGACTGGTCCTCCGAGGGCCCTTGTCCAGGCAAGACCGGGGACACTCCATCCCAGTATGCGCTGCGGGGCTGAGGGCCTGGGGTGCAGGGGAAGGGGGTGAATGGGGACGGGGCTGTAAGCAGACCGGTCAGTAGGGTCCAGCTCTGCTGCTGATGGGGACCAATGTCACATCCCCTTTGCACCTCCAACCCCATCACCACCTGAGCTCTCCGGGGCGGAGGGAAGGCTCTGAATTCTGGAGCGCTGGTGAAGGAACTTAGCGACTTTTAGAACAGCCTTAGCACCCAGGGAAAGAAACGGTCAAAAGTCAAGACAGCAGCTCTTTAGCTGTATAAGGCTGGCCTGGGGGGTTAGAAGCACGGCCAAGCAGTTTCTGTTTAAACGGATTGCTCTTTACTTGGGTGCGCTTTACTTGGTTTTAAGAATGCTTTCTGCACAGTTGGGACAAGGCAAACTTCAGCTCAGTCTACGTCTGAATTAGCATCGAGTCCCAAGGAAGTGGGATCACAATTTACCTGCTTTTACTCCAGGGAGTTAGTTTGGGTCCCCCCGAGAAGCACCGCCAGAAGGAATTGGGTTTAGATTAGATTTTTTTACTATGTTCTTTTTTTTTTAATTTTATTTTATTATGTTATGTTAGTCACCATGTAATACATCATTAGTGTTTGATGTGGTGATCCACGATCCACTGTTTTCGTATAACACCCAGTGCTCCATGCAGTAAGTGCCCTCCTCTATACCCATCACGGGGCTAAGACGGGCCTGGGAGGGAAAACGGGGAAGAAGCTGGAGGATGCTGGGAACGCCCAGACTGCAGAGAAGGTAGGGCCCCTGTGCATAGAGAGGCAAGGGCAGAAGACTTAAAGCCGTAGTACCACCGTTTTGAGAAAGCTTTGGCAAAGCCCCCCCGGGGCATCCTCAAACCCCCTTCTTCCAGGCTGGCCTGTCTCGGTCCGCTGCCCTGCTCCCTCCGTCTTGGGCTGGAAGCAGCCCATGGGGAGATGGTCTGTCACTGAAACCAGAGATAGATTCCAGAACAGGGCAGCTGGTCTGCTGTGGCATGATGCTCATGGCCAAGGCAGGGAGGATACGGTAGAGGGGGGCGGTGTCGGGCAGGGGGGGCAGGCGGGGCAGGCTGCAAGCTCACGTGGCCATGGGGGGCCTGGAAGGTGAAGGGAGAGAAGTGGACAGGAGCCCTACGACGTGGCAGGGACTGGCCAGTCGTGGACAGTGGACATCTGCTCTGGTGGTTTCTAGCTGGTTGCTGCCACGTGGGAGATACCCAGCCCACTGGGGCCTCATCACCTGATTCTCTAAAAGAGAGGCGGGCATGGGAGCTTTTGAACATCTCAAGTGTCTCACTTGAGGACCTGCAGTGGGGCCCGAGCGCCTCTGCGGGGCCAGCACGGTCTCCTTTTGTGTCTCCTTTTGTGATGTCGGGGGCAGGCCTGAGCAGGACGTTACCTAAGGGCAGGTATAGATGGCCCTGGCCCCACTAATCTGCAGTCTAGGAAGAAGACTGAGAAGCAAGGGGGGCCAGAAGCAGGGGGGAGGCAGGTGAGATCTGGGCATAATATTTAAGGAGGGGCTCATTCTCAGCTGCTAGCCCTGTGCTCGCACCACCCTGAAAGTGAGCGCCTCCTTCACCTTTGCTGGGTAGGTAGAGTAGTCCCAGTCCTGATGTGACCGCCCCCTTGAGCACCTTGCCCTCCTCCCCTGCACACTGTGGTTCCCCCACTGGCTCTTTAACCCCGGTCTGGCAGGTGCCAAGTCCCCTGTTCTACTTGCTAACGTGAAAACCGACCCATGGGAAGGTCACGGCCGCGGCCGGTGGGCAAGCGGTGATGTGTGGGGGCTGCCGTTTTCAGAGGGTCCCTCTGCAGACAGTGCCTCACTCCACATTGGGCTCTGACCCTGGGCGTTTCAAGCTCTGTGTGAGGCTGATGGGGCAGCTGGGACTTTAAAACCCAAATTTCACTGCCCAGACCTGTGCCTAAGCCGGGAGGGATTAAGGATGTCCGAGTGGAAATCCAGGTCGGTTCGGCCAAGCTGTGGTGAGCCCCCTCTACGTGCAGGTACTGTGAACCTCAGCATAAGCAGAAAGGAACCCCTGTCTCTTTCCAGAGTTATTTAGACGTGCGACTGTCTTCCCCATCAGACCAAGAGCTTCCTGGGGCAGGGGCTTTATCTCCCTCCTTCCTGGGCCACCCCCTGCGGTGGCCTCGGCTCCCAGCACAGTGGCTCTGGGACAGAGGAGATGTCAGCCCCGAGCTAGGAGGGAGGCGGAGAGACCGGTCCACAAGCCAGGCTCTCCCGGGCACCACGCTGGACCCCTCACTTTTCAGGCCCTACTCCCCGGGTGGAGCGACAGAGATTCTGTTTGCTCTGCTCCGTCCCCCAGAAGCTCCCCCAGAGCTCCAAGCTTGGGTGCTAGGGTCATAGTCAAAATATTTAAGAACCAGCAGGGCAGAGGCACTGACCAATCAGAAGAGTCCCTCACAAGGCCCGTCATTAACCCTCTCGCTGCTGGTTCCGAGGGAGGTCCAGGGGTCCCGGGAAGGAGCTGGGTATGGGGGCGGGGGAGGTATCCTCAGAGGTGGCACCTAGACTCAGTGATTTCATAACAGATACTTCCCCACGGGGCACGCTGGCCAGTGTCAGCCTCGCCCTGCAGCCTGAAACAGCCGATCCTGACTGCTGCCTTTCTCCCCCCCACGCACAGATAAACTCACAGAGGAAGAGTTCATCGAGGGGACGCTGGCCAATAAGGAAATTCTGCGACTGATCCAATTTGAGCCTCAAAAAGTGAAGGAAAAACTGAAGGAAAAGAAACAGTGATGTCCACCCGCTGCTTGGCCCTGCCCCCTCCCCTCCCCAGGCACAGAAACCCACGGGGTGAGCATGCACACATGTCCCAGGGGCCAAAGGGCCTTCCTTGGCCTTAGCCTCCCTCTTGTTCTACCCGCCACCTCCTCTCCCCCGCCCGCGGCCCGTGCCTCCGTGATAATCCCAGGATTAGGTCACCGGAGTCCTCAATATCACCCTCCCGCGTAAGCTCCTTTGTGGGTTGCTGGGTAAGCAGGTTCCAATAAATGCGAGAGGAGCTGGGCACCCAGCTGACGGGTCGTTCTTGAACTGGAAAAGGAAATGTTTTCTGGCGGCTCAGCCTCGGAGACAAGGACGACCCTGCAGTCACGGGCCAGGGTGCTGGGACCGTGGTGGAGATTGGAAGCTGCATGGGGTGGGGGGTGGGGGGGACTGTAGACCTAGAAGAAACCATTCCAGGCGGTGAGGTGACCCTGGAGACGTGCTGAGCGCTGTGGGAGGGGCTGGCTCCTCCAGAGGGTCAGGGAAGGTGTTCCCAGATAGACACGTTGAAATTAAGGCCCAGTGGACTGCGGGTGGGGGGCGGGAGGTGGATTGGCAGGGAGGGCAGGAACCTCAGTGTCCCAGAGGGCAGCCCACACAGAGACCCTGAAGCAGGAATGAACATGCCAAGTTCCAGGGTAGGAGAAGACCAGTGAAGCCAGAGAGCCCAGGGAGGAGCCCAGGGAGGAGGAAGAACCAGTTGTGAGTTATACCTAAAGGTAGGCATGGACCAGACCACGCCAGGCTTTTCTGCAGCCCATGGAAAGATGGGGGTTCGCAGTGGGGGTAGTGGGTATCATTGTGGGGTTTGAAGTAGGAGGGACTTATGTTTGTGGTGGAAATAAGTCAGAGGGGTAAGACTGTGGACAGGAAGCCGGAGATTACACTTATATAGTCACCCCAGGGGTCCTCGGCCGCAGGGGACGGCTCTGGAGATACTCAGGAGGTAGCATCTTCCTGAATGGCTGCAGGGGGGAGGGGGGAGGAGCAGGGATGGCAGCGAGGTGTGTGGCCTGGGTGCTGGGTGAATAGTGATGTCGTCTACCAAGATGGGAAACTCAGGGAGGGTCCCTGGTTTCAGGGGATAATGGCAAGTTCAGATTTGATAGGGTGAGAGAGGTGGGGGCCCTCATTTTAGAGACGAGGAAAAGGAGGCCCAGAGACAGCAAGCAGCTTGCCCAGTGTCAACCAGCTAATGAGCAAAGGTTGGCCAGGGCTGCCCACTGGCCTACACCACCTTGTCAGAGCTCCAGGGCCTGGGACACCTTGGAATTCCACCAATGGGCTCTCAACATCCTTGTTCTCATTGTTGTGAAGGCCCATCTACTCTCTAGCCTTAAGTTCCAAAATGAGGTCGGAAAAGTATACGGAGGTCCCAGACACTTGACCGACCTATATGCAACCCCCCCAAAGCAGGGGGGTCTTCACTTGTGGGTGTTGTGGGTGAGCCCCCTCTCTCCTCCCTGCTGGCTTGAGTTTAAAAGCAGAGACACTGCATAATAACCTTGTTGGTCTATGGCTCAATGAGAGGCACAAAGGGGCTACTGGATCTTCTAGGGCCAGTGGAGAGCTCAGCAGTGCTAACGTAACTAGCACATCTTCTGTTAGCTTGGGGGGGCAGGGCCACCACTCCAGCTGGGTCTTGTACAGTTCCAGGATTCTCTGTGGGAAAATGCTGAGAGAATCCAGAAGCGGTGCAAAATCCCAACTAGACTGAAGAGAAGGGAAGAAGGTGGGGGTGGTGTTGAGCCACATCATCAAGACTCTTCTGGATCCAAGGGACTGAAGACCCAACATGGATCGCTGTGGCACAGATAGGAATTTATTGACTCATGGAACAGAAATCCCAGGAGTAGCACTAACTGTAGGTCTGGCTTAATCCAGGGGGCTCCCACAATGTCTCAGGGCTCTTCTCCATCTCCTGGTCCTACTCTCTGCCGTGGCGTCTCCTTCTCAGGCAGGCTTTTCCCGTTCTGGCAAGATGGCCACCAGCAGATGCAGGCTTACTTCTTCACGGTTCCAATATCAGCAAAAAAGAAAAAAAAAAAAAATGGCTTTCTGCTGAGAGTCCCAGCCCGAGTCCCAGGACCACCTCTCGTTGGCTCTCATTGGTGATATGCCCATTCCTGACCCAGTATGTGGTGCCAGGGGAGGTCCTGCTGGGATTGGCTAAGCAGATTTTTGTGGCCAGCCTTGGGGCTGAGGGTGGAGTTGAGACAGCTCAGACGTCATGAGCTGGGAGTGGGGAGATGTATGGTTCCCAAGAGGAAAGTTTGGGTCTTATTAGTATAAGAGGAATAAATTGTAAAAATAGATGTCCATTCTAGGGACCTTGGGGAAAGTCACTTCACGTCTGAATTTCTGCTTCCTCACATACATGTAAGTTCAAGGGCAGAAATGGGTCTTCTGAAGAGCAGTAATCCAAACTGCTCTCAAAGGCCTCCTGTGCAATGCCCCTTGGCTATGTCTTAGCGTCCCTAGCTGGCGTCCCCGACAGATTCATCAGTAGGTTCGTCAGCACCAAGTGCAATTGCTACACCAGACCCCATTCTCACCGCAACCGAGGCTACATTACTTCTGATGTGCCCGGGCTTTGCGCTGGGCTGCTGGTGAACCTTCCGGGTTAAAATATATGGTTTGGGCCACGGCGAATGGCATGTGTCATGGAAACCGTTCTTGTCACTGTCTCCTGGCAATGGCTCTTTTATTATTTTTATTTTTATTTTTTTAAAGATTTTATTTATTTATTTGAGACAGAGAGAATGAGAGAGACAGAGAGCACATGAGAGGGAGGAGGGTCAGAGGGAGAAGCAGACCCCCCGCCGAGAAGGGAGCCCGATGCGGGACTCTATCCCAGGACTCCAGGATCATGACCTGAGCCGAAGGCAGTCGCTTAACCGACTGAGCCACCCAGGCGCCTGGCAATGGCTCTTTTAGACGTCATCTGTGGCTTCCCTTTGCTCGCCAGAGCTCAGACCCTGTCCGCGGAGCCAGATGGGGACACAGACAACATACCGCCCACTCTACCTCCATTTCTGTCCCTTGGAGGCTACACAAATTTATCAGATGAGGCCGGGTAAGGCTCAGCTGGGATGCCCACCCTTCAAAGAACAAAACAGAACAAAAAACCTCCACAAAACTGGACCAACCCCACCTACATCGATTATCACTCAGAGTTCTGAGAATCAGTTAAGTCTGTTCTTAGGGAGGGGCGCCTGGGTGGCTCAGATGGTTAAGCGTCTGCCTTCGGCTCAGGTCATGATCCCAGGGTCCTGGGATCGAGTCCCGCATCCGGCTCCCTGCTCCTTGGGAGCCTGCTTCTCCCTCTGCCTCTCTCTCTCTCTGTCTCTCATGAATAAATAAATAAAAATCTTTAAAAAAAAAAAAAGTCTGTTCTTAGGGAGGAATTTCTTTTTTTTATTTATTTTTATTTTTTTTAAAAGATTTTATTTACTTATTCATGAGAGACAGAGAGAGAGAGAGGCAGAGGGAGAAGCAGGCTCCCAAGGAGCAGGGAGCCGGATGCGGGACTCGATCCCAGGACCTTGGGATCATGACCTGAGCCGAAGGCAGACGCTTAACCATCTGAGCCACCCAGGCGCCCCATTAGGGAGGAATTTCTGAACTGTACGTGTCACAGGTGGAACGACCTGATTATTTGGACGTCAGCAGAGCACTATGAGTTTTGGGGGGAGGTTTCACCTCGAAACCTTGTCCGATGTCTTCAACCTTGGTCACATATTAAAACCAGGCTTTGGCCTCCAAAACACAGGCAACAGAAGAAAATAAACAGATAAACTGGACCTCATCATGACCGAAAGCTTTTGTCTATCAAGGGACACCATCAAGAGCATGAAGAGACAACTTACACCATGGAAGGAAATACTTGCAAATTATATATCTGATAAGGGATTAAAATCCAGAATAAGCAAAGAAATTCAACAATTCAACAACAAAAAAACCCCACACGGCCTGATTTTTAAAAACCGGGCAAAAAGGCGCCTGGGTGGCTCAGTTGGTTGAGCGACTGCCTTCGGCTCAGGTCATGATCCTGGAGTCCCGGGATCGAGTCCCGCATCGGGCTCCCTGCTCGGCGGGGAGTCTGCTTCTCCCTCCGACCCTCCCCCCTTTCATGCTCTCTCTCTCTCAGTCTCTCTCTCTCAAATAAATAAAATCTTAAAAAAAATAATAAAAAAATAAAAACCAGGCAAAGGGTTTGAAGAGACATTTCTCCAGAGAAGATAGGCCAATGGTCGATATTATCACACGAAAAGGTGCTCAGTATCTTTAGTTACCAAAGAAACACAAAGTAAAACTACCCTATCACGTCATACCCCTCAGGATGGTGATTATCAAAAAAAGTAGAAAGTAAGTGTTGGCAAGGACCTGGATAAATTGGAACCCTTGTGCGTCGTTGGTGGGAATGCAAAATGGCACAGCCGCTGTGGAGAACAGCTTGGTGGCTCCTCACGATGTTAAAAAGAAGGGCCGTATGACTCTGTCATTCTCCTCCTAGGAGTCTACCCAAAGAATCGAAAACAAGGACTCAAACAGAATCCTTTGCACACTCATGCTCATAGCAGCATTTTTCACAGTAGCTAAAATGGAGAAGCAACCCAAGTGTCCGTCAACTGATGAAGGGACTGAAAAATTTGTCCATACAATAGAGTATTATTCTGCCACAAAATGGAAGGAAATTCTAGTCCATGCTACAACATGGATGAAACGTGAGAGCATTGGGCTGAAGGAGATAAGCCAGTCACAAAAAGACAGATACTGCGTGATTCCACTTATGTAACGTGTCTAGAGTCGTCACATGCAGACGAGTGCATAACAAAGCAAAGGTTTGTTTGACAGGAAGTCAATGCAGAGACAGGAAGTACAATGGTGGTGGCCAGGGGCTGGGGTGGAGACATGGAGGGTTGGTGTTTAATGGGGACAGAGTTTTGGTTTGGGAAGGGAAGAAAGTTCTGGAGATGGTTGGACAACAGTGTGAATGCAGTTGAAGCTGCTGAACTGTAGACTTAAAAGTGGTTAAAATGGGGAATTTTATGTTATATATATTTCACCACAGTAAGAAGAAAAAAAAAATCACTCAATTTCTTTTTTTTTTTTTTTTAAGATTTTATTTATTTATTTGACAGAGAGAGACACAGCGAGAGAGGGAGCACAAGCAGGGGGAGTGGGAGAGAGAGACCAGGCTTCCCGCTGAGCAGGGAACCCGATGCGGGGCTCAATCCCAG